TATCAAAGACAAGCCTGTCTGTATAGCCCCCTCCACCCCTCCGCAGCAGCAACCTCTGCCCAGACACATGCTGTACAACTTAATCTCTAAATTGCAGCAGATTTCTCTCTTTTTAAAAACACAGTTAATGTAACTACATCACATTCAAGAACCATGCTGAAACATTTTGAGATGAAAATCAAAAATCACACAGAACTGAAATGATTTGGTTTCATAACAGAGTCAGTCTGCTGCTGGTGGCAGTAAAAATCAGATCATCAGTCAAACCCTTCTTTTCTCTCTTTGAGCAAAAACTTTAACACATTCCTGCAAAAGCAAGGAGCCTCGTAAAGGATATACTGTAATAACCATCTATCTCACATTTTAAAAAGAACCAAAATGTTTCAAACAATGCCTCCATCTTTAGTTTATTTCAATAATATGAAAAAATTGTGGATTTAACAATAAAGCATGCCAAATCAATCAGTATTAGTATTAAAACACCAAAAGTAGCAGTTTTCACTGTGTAGCTGTTTAAAGACCAAGTTTGCAGAAACCATTTTTTACCTTTTTAAACATGATCAGTCATGAGTTTAACATTCAGGCTGAGGCCTTGCCCACACGTAGTCGGTTTTTTAAAACGAATATCCGCCCTCCCAAAAATAGCATCCACACCACCTCGTTTTTAGAAAAAACTCCATCCACATGTAACCGCATAACTGCATTAAGGACGGCATCCTTCCTGCTCAATTCCAACAAAACATGAAACATGGTGCCTATAAGTATAATTTTTGCTTGTAAAAACAGAGACAAGAAGCACTTGGACGATTAATAACGCGAGCACAGCTCTGAGGGCATCCATGTTGTAGTGTAAACACAAGTAAACTAAAACTCTGGGTATTTCTGTCCACACAGAAACGCTTAAAACGAAGAAAACACAAATCTTCACTTGGCCAGGGTGTTTAAAAAGATTACTTTTTGTTGCGTAAATCTGCGTTTTCATGTGGATGACAGGCCGAATTGTTGAAAATAATCTTCATTTGGGGAGATACCCGGATACGTGCGTAACGGAATGAAATGACTGGTTCCCCCTCTCCTCTGACACAGGACTAGTCTGCATGAGATATGGCCTCAATGTCTCATGCATTTGCTTCTAACCTGCTTCTTTTCAGCTCAACAGAAGAATGAATAATGGACTCTCTCCTTTTAATTATCAAAGAACTCAATTTTAATAAAGCTAATCACGCAATGTGTCAGTCAATAATAAGATGTGACCAATCTGCGAAATCAAAATATTATCTTAGGTGTGTTCTTGCTGTGCGTTATTTCTAATTCCATGTTGTCGTTCTTTTTTAAAACACAGAAACGGTTTTGTTACCTGTTATTGACGCTACAGTTTCACCGACGGCTGCCGGCTTCTTCAAGAAAAAGAAGACAAACACATACAACATGCTTTAAAGACCTGCAGATACCCGGCACGGGCAATAAACAAAGGAAAACGACAAACAAAAACAGAAAGCAAAGGACAACCAAAAAAAAAGAACCAGAAACCCAGAAAGACAAGAACCAAAACCATAACCCTACCATACATCAGAGGCATAACGGAAAAAATAAGAGCAACAATGAAAAAACACAACATAAACACACCAACAAAACCATACACAACAGTTAGAAACAGACTGGTGCACCCAAAAGACAAAATATCAGCTGGACAAAAATGTGGAGTCATCTACGAAATCCCATGCAAAATATGCAATAAAACATAGATAGGAGAAACCGGACACCAACTCAACACACGAACAATAGAACATAGAAAGGAGTGCGAGAAAGAGGCAAATCGAAAACACACAAGAGCAGCAAAAGAAGAAGCAGAAAGTACAATTAAAAAGTCAGCCGTAACAGATCATTGCTTAAGAGAAAACCATATAATGGACTGGGACAGCACACGGATCATAACCACCGAACAACAAAAATACAAAAGATGGCTCAAGGATGCAATCGAGATAAGGAGACGTGGATGTGGGACCATGAACAGGGACGACGGAGTTTACACGCTGGACCACGCATGGGACTGCATCGTCGGAGAGGGGAGAGCGGGCAGTAGAGGGCGACAACGTCCTCTGCTGCCCGCAGATAAACGGAGAAGGAAGTGACGCGCCACCATCAGCGTCAGACTGAAGAAGCCGGCAGCCGTCGGCGAAACTGTAGCGTCAATAACAGGTAACAAAACCATTTCTGTGTTTTAAAAAAGAACGACAACATGGAATCAAAATATTCATTACTTTGTTATAATCCTATAGAATATAAAGGTACTATGACTTTAAATGTTCCAATAGGGCTGATCTCACGTAGTGTTAAAAGACATGACACATTACTTTCACTGATCCAGTCAGAATCTGCCAGATCTGACGGAAGCGTAGTTTTGGTGGTGTTTGGTAATTCTGTCAACTTTTTATTCGACCGTAAACCAAAACATCCGAAGTATAAAACTATGCCCACGTCATCTCTAACGCCAGTTCAAAGCATTCTAGAGAAGTTGCCGGAGTGGCCAATCCGTAACTTTCCTCTTCAGCCAAAAGAACCAACGACACGCCGGATAAAATCTGTTGCTGTAACAACCGCTGCAACGGTCCCTTTCAGAATAAAAGCTGAACCATCACGACCCAGGTGGGTCTCACCAGACGCCAACAAAATTGTTGTGACCTGGAAGTATCTCAAAGACTGGTGGTTGGTTGCTGTGGCTGCTTCTACAGGCTTTGGCTCCACAAGGTCAAGCTGGACCTTTACACCTCCTGATCTAGACGGGGACTTCCGCTCAGGGTATGTAGACCGGCAAATGGCGTCGAATGTGTTTATGAATCTCCTGATCAAAGCTTAACTCAAAGCTTAACGCGAAGACATCACCTTCAGTTCCCATCAGAACTAATTGCTTCTTCGGATTTGCTGGTTCTGAGCAACATTACACCTCACCCCTTTCACCGTCTCATCCACCTTAGTTGCAACTTACATTTAATGTTTAAAGTTAGTCTAGTTTAATTTGTTTAGTAATAAATGTTTAAACTTTTAAACTGGACTCTCTCTCTTCTGTTGTCTCTGAGTGAATACGAAGCTGTTATCTAATCTCTGCAATAAAAAGTTCCAATCTTCTGGTTTAAAATAACCTCACAGATCCGTAAGGTTGATTTCATATTTACTACGGAATCCTACGCCTTATGGCTTATTAAATAAGATGTAATTTAAATCATTGCAAGTGTGAAAATAGTCTACTACCCCTATTTCCTGCATTAGCCGCTGGCAGCCAACGCTGGCTTATTAAATAAGATGTAATTTAAATCATTGCAAGTGTGAAAATAGTCTACTACCCCTATTTCCTGCATTAGCCGCTGGCAGCCAACGCTTTAATCTGAAAAGCCAATCAGACATCAGTGAGCTTGTGACGACCCCCTGTTAGCCAGATGAGAGGTGAGCATACTTCCAGGACCCCCCCCCCCCACCCCCCCCACACACACACACACCCACACACACACTTCTGGTAGGCTCATGGGTCTCAGAACAAAAAAAATGGATGCAGGTGAGCGGAGATATAAAAGCTGTTTTCTAATCACACGTTTCACTTCAATTGTGAATTTTTACTACACTGTCATGTATTGTGAGATTTATTAGCTTGTAAAAAATCATAAGATGTGTCTTTCTGTTTGTTTCTTGTTTGATGATGCCAATTTGGTGAGACGGACATTTTTACTCCTATACGTACATTCACACAAAACCTAAAATAACTTGTGCCACCGTGCCAAATGAAGCAGTTTCTTGACATCAAAATGTGTATTTTAAATTCCCGACATGATATGTGAGGCCCATGGCACATAACAAACAGATCAGTAAATAACTTTTATGGAGTAATAACTTTTTTTGATGGAGGGGGGGGGGGGGTTGTCCTGGAAGTATGCTCACCTCTCATCTGGCTAACAGGAGCGCCACAGCTTTTCCCCCACAAGGAATTCATTTATAGAGACCACTGCAGATGTGTTGAAATGAGTGAACTTTGTCTTAATTAGTCCTGTCTCTTCTAGAGCCACCCATTCACCCTCTTTCTTTTTCCAAGACAAAAACTTCCTGTCAGCATTTATAAATCAATAAAATGATGCGTGTCAGGGATGTCTGACTCACCGTCCCTGAAACAGCGCACCACCTAATCCTGAGCAGATCAAGCTAATTAGAGAGCAGAGACCGGACTGTGCTCACTCTCAAACACTGTACACTCCAAAAGTGACATCTCCGTCTCTGAGGGGAAGCCATTATCATGAGTTATGTCAAGAGGAAGGTCTTGTTCTTAACGTCTCCTCTCTGCTCGTGAGGTTAGGCAGCTGTCATCGTTTTCTCCAAGAATCCCTGAAGGATGAGCATCAGAGCAAAAATCCCAGGAACAACTCTGATTTGTTCAGATGGCCTATGACCGTATAGCTCATCTGGATGGATAGAAGGTTGCCAGGAGGGTCTGCTCAGATGTGCAAACGTAATACTAACACACCCTTCACATGATCACAGAGGTCTACTGGCTTCTGGTTGTGTTCAAACATTTCACAATGAGCATCATGAAGTTAGCTCTCACTGGCCACAGAGGCATAATTTATTAATTTAAAAAATGCATAAATCTGCTATGATGAAATATTTAATTTGTACAGACAAAAATCTGAATATAAAAATGTTTTTAAAAGAGCAGATCTTCAACATGCTGGAGAGATGAAATTATTCTATTCTATAAACACTGGCGGGCTGCAAAAAATCAATCTGAGAACCTCAAATTGCCCTCAAGCCACCCTTTGGACATGTCTGCTCCAGAGCCTTAAGGGGAGACGAAAACCATGTTTGTACCTTTTCAGGAGCAAGTTTACATTTAAACGTCTTGTGTGTAGTACTTACTTCTTCCTGTAGATGGAGGTGTGACACTTTAACATCATGCAGAGCCGAGCCCAAAAGCCTTGCATGCATTCATTAAAATAAAACAGAACAAGACACTGCCACAGGTTACATATCCATGAATTTTATTGGTGATGACTGTGTGCAGATCAACGGGGGTCTGATGATAAATGCTGAGTTCTGCAGCAGGGTGCAAACGGCTACGGCAAAAGCCTGAAGATCTCTGGGGTGTCGTCGTGCACTCCTGCAACCAGCTCTGTTTAACTTCAGGAGGCTTACTCAGTAACACGGTGCAAAATCAAATACCTCCATAAGGGCAAATGCACGTAGAAGGAATTACCATGTATGTTTAAAAACATACAACCTCCAAACCACAGGCTGACAGCACGCTCCACGTCACAAATATTCCACCAAAATACTTTAATGCTATGTAAATCCAGCACAGAAATATGATACATCCATTAAAATATACTTCATTACAAAAAATACAGCAAACAGTAACATTAAATTAGCTTGAAAACACTTCAAATATTAAACTAAAGCAGCAATGAAGGTAAATAAAAACAGTTAAAGGTTTTAATTCATGATGTGGAAAAAATGATCATCAGAGGTGAAAAGTATCAGTAAATGTTGTTTTATATAGGTTTTGTTTAGTTCTGTTGCATCATCCACAGCTAGTTAGAAAAACATGTGGCTGATTGAAGTTGATCCATGATTCTATGAAATTACAGTTTAAAAAAGGCATAATTTTCTTTAAATAATCCACTTTTTATAGAATTAAAATGAATAAAAGCAGGATTACCTGTTTCAAACTCACCAAACACATAGTGGTAATGTTAAATTCTAGTAGAGGAAGCCATAATGGACTCCACGCAGATAGCTCAGCAACAGTTAGAGGGAGTCGGCTGTGATGAAAACATAGATCCTGGCCTGGAAGGTGGTAAACTTCCCTTGCCTCCAAAGCTTCATCTCCACCGTGATTAGAAAGTCCCTTGGCCCCTGGACCTGTCGCTGTAAGTACACCGCACCTGTGTAGGCGTTCAGCTTCCTGGTGCTGAAGTAGTTCCCCTCGTTGCCCTGCGTGATGGAAACAATCACGTTGTCCCCGGAGTAGGCGGGCGACGGTCCGATACGGAAGATCTGAGCGGGGATGAGGATGTTGGACTGGAAGCTGAGGTAGTAGTAGGTGATTCTCTGTGGAGAGTTCTGACACTCCAGGGCGTTGGGACAGCTGATCCGCTCACAGCGTCTGCCAACACAAGAGGGTAGATGTTGTCATCAGCACAAGTGAAACTCAAAAAATTAGAAAATGGTGCAAAAGTTCACTTACTCAACTTAAAAGGTGAAACTAATAAATGAGATAGACTCGTTACATGCAAAGCCAGATATTTTTTGTTTTAGCTGTGATGTGAGGGACGGCAGTAGCTCAGGAGGTAGAGCAGGTTGTCTATCGGAAGGTTGCAGGTTCGATCCTGGCTCTGAACAGAGAATGCTGCCGCTGTGTCCTTGGGCAAGACACCTAAACTGCCTTGCCTGTTGGTGGAGCCAGTGTTCAGCAGGCCTCGCCCCTGTGCAGCTGTGGCTGCAGCGTAACTCATCCCCACCAGCGTGTGAATGTGTGTGAATGGATGAATGACTGATTGTGTTGTGAAGCGCCTTGTAGAACTCTAAGAACGTGCTATACAAATATAGGTCATTTACATTCACCATGAACATGGCTCACAGCTCATGAAAACACCAAAATCTCAGACAATTAGAAAAAGGTGAAAAAGTTCCATATTCACGGCTCAAAGTGTCACACTCTCACCAGCTAATGAATCCTGCAAAGCCATGTTCTAATATTTAGTTTCATCTGTAGTGTTCCAGTTACGGTGGGATGCGAACATTTAGTCAGCCTCGTTAATCTTCATAATTATCCTGTATAAATCCTTGATTGTTTCAGTAAAATATATCATATAGGTATAGAGAAACCTTACCTATATGTGTACGCACACAGGTGCTCACATGGTGCTCTCATAAGTATGGACTTGGGCATTTTCAACACATGTCTTAAGGCAGTGGTTGGCACTAAATGCACTGTGATTTACTATAATGTGATTGTTCAGTAAAACAATGATAATTTGATGTTTCCTCATTAGGTTGATGCAGTGATATTTTGCTCTTGTTGTATTGTTGTGTGTCCCTTTGTTTTGTTTGTTTTTCTCTTTCTGCAGGTCTAGAAGCAGACTCTTGCTCATCATTGATTGTTTACTTTCGTGGGAAAAAAGTACACTGCCAATAAAGTTTTTAGTATCAGGCGTGACATTAAAGCAGACGCTTTGATGCTCCACCTGAGAGTTAATCTGTAAGGCTTGTCACCAGCATCCAGACATTAAATCTGTTTGCTTCACAGCCGGGCAGGACACGGGAGAATAAATAAATGAAAGCAACTTGTTGCATCTTTACCAAGAAGACGCATGGCTGCATTAGCTCTAAAGGGTGCTTCTATGCTAAGTACTGAGCAAAGAGTCTGAATACTCAGGACTCTGTGATATTTCAGTTTGTCTTTTTTGATAAATCTGCATACATTTCTAAAATTCTGTGCTTTTCTGTCAGTATGGGGTGTTGTGTACATTAATGAGGATTTACATGAAAATTACAGTCCTGCACTGGAAACATGTTTTAGAGGTATTTTACTGTGTATTTTACGGTAATACGCAATGGGAATTACAGTGTAAGTGTACAGAGATATGAACAGTGGTGTGGCGTGTGAGTGATCCTGGTGAAGGAAACTACAGTCAAGCAGCAAAAGAAGTAATAGCAAACAGGTGATGCATAAATAACTAATAACTAAACTGTGCTATGGACTAGTCTGAATGTAGGGAGGTGTTATCCAAGATGTCAGCTTAGACAACATCCTCTCCTCCCCAGCCTGCCTGCTGGACTTCACTGGACAGTCCAGGACAGCGCTGATCTGTCCCCGTCTCAATTCCAGCCATGACCGATTGTGAAGGGTCGTATGAGAAGTCTCGTGGATTTGTACCCCAGTCTGGATACCTTACACATTGAGCTCTTTTTGACATGTACAGGATGTCACCCATAGACATACACTTACAACTGATTCACAACATGCTCTGTGTTGAACTACATGTAACTAATTGTCAAAATAATGTAAACCCAGATAACTAGACGTGTATAAATGTATCTGAATGTATTCTTAGGAAATGTTCAGTTATATATATATATTTAGTGATAATTTTGGTGGGACTTTCTTTATACGCTTCATTTAAAATAGATATAAGGACATTGTCTCCCAAACTCCATTTCTAGACTGTATCTGAATTATGCATTCATGTTTTTTTTTTTGTTCCCTGCTGATCCGGTCGGACTGCTTCTCTTTAGCTACACATGTACAGTAGTAGTATCTACAACAGGGGCCCTCAATTATAACGGTCCAAGGGTCACTCACAAAAATGACCCAGAAGCAAGAGGCCTGGACCGGGGTGCGGGGTGGGGTTGCTGTTGTATGAATGTCGGACGGGGGCCGCTGTTGTTTGGATCGCTGGCTGTAATGTAAATAACACACAAGCTTTTAATATAAGGAAGGACAAGACCTGTCCTCTTCCAGCTCGGCTGTGTGACTGCACTAACCTGTCCTGTGTCACCCTCCCCATGTAACCCTCATGTCCATTTCATAGGAAACAAGATCTCCTGTAACTTAAAATGAGCCAAAGCTTCCTCCTAGTTTCTCTTTAAGCTGAATTTAACATCAGTTTATCATCATGAAACAAAAGAATAAAGTGGAACAAAAACTTATATCTTCTATTTCTCTCTACTTTTAACTTCTCCGTGTCCCTAAATAAAAGAGACAGATGATTATGCTGCAGCTGCTCGCTCCATCGGAGCGCGCCGCGCGACAACCTGCTCAATTAACATAATTCACGTCCCAAAGCCAACAGAACCGATCGGGCTGATTCGGTTCGGGTTCGGTCTCAGGTTACAACTCCAGCGCTCAGCCCTGCAGTACCACATAAAGAAGGACCAAAGTTTCCTACCCGGTAAATGTGGACAGATTCTAGATCCCATTCTGACAGATGTGGATGCTGCGCTTAAAATAACAAAACTACATTCCACTAGAATTGATTATGGCTACTCTTCTGTGATGCAGAATCGTTTAATTATTTTCCTCAGCTCTATCCAACACCTCTCGGTCGGCCATCGGGGGTGAGGGTGGGGGTTGCGTGCGGGGTTCGGGGCGGCAAAGAGAGGGCTCGCGGGCTGAACATGGCCTGCGAGCCACCTATTGATTACCGCTGATCTACAACAATCACAGGAACAGCAGATTGTGTCATGAATTAAATAATTAGAACATTTGACAAATATGTATCTTTTGCATTTTTAATCACAATTGTCTATCTTTGCTTATTTAAAACATGTTTTTGATCATTTTTTGAAATCTTTTTTATATTTATAAATGTTTTGTTTTTGTGAAGCGTCTCGTGATTTTTATCTTGAGAGGCGCTATAGAAAAGATTCTTTCTTTCTTTCTTTCTTTCTTTCTTTCTTTCTTTCTTTCTTTCTTTCTTTCTTTCTTTCTTTCTTTCTTTCTTTCTTTCTTTCTTTCTTTCTTTCTTTCTTTCTTTCTTTCTTTCTTTCTTTCTTTCTTTCTTTCATTCTTTCTTTGGACTAATACATGACCCTGTTGACCCCTAAACAGAATGCCTTTGGGATAAGTGGCTAGTTACTACAAAATGCTCTGGAGACATTAAATGTTGACCAAAGACTTTCTGTATGCGGAAGGTGCGCACGTTGGGTTCGGGGGCCACAGAGAGACGGCCCGCTGGCCGGACTTGGCCCACGGGCCGCCTACTGAGTACCGCTGATAAAGGAGATACACACAGTGATAGTAGAGAAGTGAAACTAAGTTAATAGGATTGACAGAAAGTGTGCAACAATTGTTTAAACAAAATTAGGCAGGTGCATAAATTAGTGCACCAAAAAAATAAAAATGACCTCAATGTTCAGTAGATCCTCGTTTTGCTGAAATAACAGCCTCTAAACGCTTCCTATAGCTTTCAGTGAGATTCTGGATTCTGGTTGAAGGTATTTTGGACCGTTCTTCTTTTCAAAACATCTCTGGTTCATTCAGGTCTGATGTTCTTCTGAGCATGGACAGCTCACTTTAACTCACACCACAGATTTTCAACAATATTCAGGTCTGAGGACTGAGATGGCCATTCCAAAAGGTTCTACTTGCTCCTCTACATGAATGCATTAGTAGATGTTGAGCAGTGTTTAGGATTGTTGTCTAGTTGAAAGATCCAGCCCCGGTGCAGCTTCAGCTTTGTTTCTGATTCCTGGACATTGGTCTCCTGAATCTGCTGATATTGAGTGGAATCCATACGTCCCTCACCTTTAACACGATTCCAAGTCCCTGTACTGGCCACACAGCCCACAGCATGATGCAACCACCCCCTACTTGCTCTTCTTCAGAGATATTCAAAGAGGAAGGAAACTTATAATTGGCCCCACTTAATACTCTTTCTTATAACTGGATTCACCTGTGTACGCAGGTCAAAGGTCACTGAGCTTACCAAACCAATTCTGAGTTCCTATAGTTTGTTCTAAAGGTTTTGGAATCAATAAAATGACAACAGTGCCCACATTTATCCACCTGCCTAAATTAGTTTAAACAATTATTGCACACTTTCTGTAAATTCTATGAACTTTGTTTCACTTCTCAATTATCAATATGTGAGTCTCCTACATGATATTTTTCAATGAGATTTTTTATCAGAACAACCAGCGATTCATAAAGAAAAAGCATAAAGAATAACAAGGCTGCCCAAACCTTCGCATCCTGCTGTGGAAAATGACTGAAAAGACAGGATTTATTGGTCTGAAATGAAGCATAACTGACAAATTGGATAAAACATTAGAGCTATCGCTCAAAAATGATTTCCTTTGTACATTAAGGACACGGAGTTGTTCTAAAGGTTTATACAATGTTTGTGGGAATCACAATCCTGCCATGTGTGGTGTGTCACAAGTGCTCCGGCACGCTCAGAAGGATGTCAGGACCACCCCCATCTTAATTAAACGCGTACAAAACAGGATGTTTTATCTATTTTGTTGGCTTTGTGAATCAGCTACCACAGGTGGTGAGTTCACAAACCTGGAAAAATGTTGGATTTATTTATTCAATCTTTGCTGTGTGACGACCAATTTTGAACTTCCAATTAGTGACCAAAAACTGAGCTGATCAGAAGACTCCTTTACCATTCTAACCGATTTAAACATGAAGAATATGGGTTTAAAAACTCATAACAACTCACGTGTCAGACACCTGGCGGTAGTCAGGGGGACAGCTCAGAGAGAGGCAGCGGTACCCTCCTTGAATGTTGTAGCAGGTCTCAGCAAGAGAGCAGTTGTGGGCCCCTGTGGCACATTCATCGATATCTAAAACACAGAGTAAAGGCCCCAGCGGGGCCAGTTTACAGCCACGGGATAACAGACAAACGAAGCTTTATAAAGTGTATGATTAAAGCACCATCTCATATTTATCTGAGCAGAAGCACTACTGCACCTTCTGCAAAGAGTGAAACAAGTGCAGAGCAGTTTTACCAAATCAATCTCAGAGCTGAAGTCAATGAGGCAACAACTCGCCCAGCAACAGCAGCAGCACAGAGAGATGAATTGATGTTGAATAAGATGATGAGGAGAAGCGGGATGCATTCCCTCACCTCTGCAGGATCGTCCATTGGGAGACATGCTGTATCCGGATTCAGGGCAAGCACACTGGTAACTACCAGGAACGTTCACACACTTGTAGGTGCACAGATGGCCGAGGCTCTGAGAGCATTCATCAATATCTGGTGAAGATAAATCATGCTGTGTGAAGTGGTCTGAGTCTGGTGTGTGTGGTGTGTGATGCAAGCGCCCCACCTTCACAGGTGTGTCCATCCTCCCTGAGGTAGTAGCCCTTTCTGCAGTAGCACTGGTAGGACCCGTAGACGTTAGCACACTCCTGACTGCAAGGGTTGGTCAGACACTCGTTCACGTCTGGACAAATGAGATTAAAGGTCAGAGGTCTTTGTCATCAGGATAATGTTTAAATCCTGACAAACACAAAATGTTTTAACCCTCTGGAGGCAGGTGTTGCAGATTTGCAACGTTAAAACCTACCTACCTGGTTACTCCACATACATATTTCATGAGCATTTTTAAATCAGAAGTACCCCTGAAGGACTTAGATGTTCATCCTTTTATCAGAACTTATTTTGAGCCTTAGAGGGTTAAACAGGCTAATTATGGTTTTACTGGTTCCTGTCTGAAGGCCTGGTTTACTATAAAACACACTAATACATGTCTGCCCACACACACACACACACACACACACACACACACACAAGCACACGCACACATATTTTCACACACACACACATATACACACACAAATACAAGCACACACACACGCACACATATTTTCACACACACACAAATACAAGCACACACACACACGCACACATATTTTCACACACAGGCTCACACAAAAGCATGCATCAACATGCACTCATACCCAGGCCAACAGACATTCAGACAAACACACCTTCACAGTTCTTGCCATCAGCAGATAAGCGGAAACCAGAGGTGCACGAGCATCGGTAGGAGCCCGGGGTGTTCTCACAGGTCTGGGCACACAGACGGCCAGGGTAGCGCCAGCACTCGTTTATATCTGGGAGGAAGAAACTACATCATCATCGTACCTCAGAAAGGCCACGCCATGTTTGTTTGTTTGCTCCCGTCTGTGTGTGTGTGTGTGTGTGTGTGTGTGTGTGTGTGTGTGTGTGCACGCGCGTGTGTGTGTGTGCGAGTGTGTGTGTGCGTGTGTGCGAGTGTGTGTGTGCGTGTGTGCGAGTGTGTGTGTGTGTGTGTGTGTGTGTGTGTTTGTGTGTGTGTGTGTGTGTGTGTGTGTGTGTGTGTGTGTGTGTGTGTGTGTGTGTGTGTGTGTGTGTGTGTGTGTGTGTGTGTGTGTGTGTGTGTGTGTGTGTGTGTGTGTGTGTGATGTGATGTGAGGGGACCATCTGTCTACTGATAGTCTAAACACTTGAGTTGAGTGTATTATTATGGGAGTCACAACACAGTGAATCAAGTGTAGAGGGTGATGAGACGTGATTGGTAGTCTGCCGGCTTCCTCAGGAGCTGGGAGGGATCAGCAGCTCCCTCTGCCTCGGAATAATAAAAAGGACACTGACAGAGAAGAATATTTACTAAGAAATCACAATGTAACCATAGACACATTGCTTGGTGTGTGTGTGTGTGTGTGTGTGTGTGTGTGTGTGTGTGTGTGTGTGTGTGTGTGTGTGTGTGTGTGTGTGTGTGTGTGTGTGTGTGTGTGTGTGTGTGTGTGTGCACTCTCTCGATCCCCAATGAGTCGTGGAGGCTGCTTATAATGAGCCAGGATCCTCTGGAGGTTTCTTCCTGTTAAAAGGGAGTTTTCCTCTCCACTCTCGCTGCATGCTTGCTTAGTATGAGGATTGCTGTATAGTCACTGACACTAGTCAGTGACTTGATGTAATTTGCTGGGTTCCTTATATAGGAAACATTTTTTCTGATTGGCTTATTGAACAGACCTAGATTGGAATGTTTATTATGTGAAGTGTCTTGAGACGACTCTTGTCGTCATTTGGCGATATATAAATAAAATTGAATTGAATTGAATAATCTAGTTGTGTGGTAATCTAGAATAATAAACAAGTTTAAAAAAACAATTTGAATACAGAAGGAATCGCAAATATCTGGAAACATTTAACCCCCCCACTGTCCTAATGGGTGTGACCCCGCGAGGAAAGTTGACCATTGAGCAGGGTTGATGGTTTATCCCTTGGGTCCACGTGGCAGGGGTGAGGAGTGAGCACCACCTCACCCCTGCCACATGGACCTCAAAGGATAAACCATCAATCCTGCTCAATGGTCAACTTTCCTCGCAGGGTCACTCATAAAGACAGTGGGAGGGTTATAATAAAAACAGACTCATTTAGTGTAAGACCAAATTAACACACTTTGTAGAGAAACTGCAATTAAAAGATGACATAACTGTTACAATTTGTCTGCAACTTTGCAGCATTAAACTCAATAAAAAGTTATTTACAGTGTACAACGAGTAATCAGACTCCCGTCCGTTTTTCACTGTTATGCTAAAATCAATTAAATTCATTTTTTCTTTATTGATGTACACACAGCACCCCATGTTGTCAGAAAAACACATAATTTTAGATATTTATGCAGAGATAAAAAAGAAAAACTGAAATATCACATGGTTCTAAGTATTCAGACCCTGAATTGATTAATGAGGAAAATAATGAATTTAAATGATTTAGCGAATGGCTGCAATATAACAAGAGTGAAAAATTGACAGGAGCCTGAATAATGTCCATAACACTGTATAAAACCTGTAGCAAAAGTTCCAGTTTAGTGTGATCGCAAAGGACTTTACAGATTTCCTTTCTACTTCATGTCTCTAACTAGCCCTTCCAGCAGCAGCTCAGTGAGGTCCTGGCTGTAGGGAGCTCTCAGAGGTCATAACGTACCTACGCACATCCTCTGGGCGTCCAGCTGGTAGCCTGTCTGGCACTCGCAGCGATAAGAACCAGGCAAATTGTGGCACAGCTGACCCTCTCCACATCGATGCAGGCCGCTCTCACATTCAGTCACATCTACAAGAACAACAGGACATCTGTGAAGCCCTCCTAAAGCTCAAATAGCTGCATCATGTAAATGCTGCCTTGCCATGTGTTCGAATTAAAGCTACTAATACCATTTACGTTGTAGCATGAGGTGCTGTTTGACCCAGTAAAACTCATGACTTCTGCATCACACTCATATTCTGATTAAACAGACGTTGACTCAGCATAGAAAACATCAGTGAACACTTGATTGTAAATCATTACCAACACATCTGGACCCATCAGGACTGGGCTTGTAGCCCCGGCTGCATATTATCTTCCTGTTGCACACGTAGGATCCCACCGTGTTGACACAGGTAAATCCTGAACCGCACGGCTGGGTCAAAAGGCCACACTCGTCAATGTCTGGTGGAAAGAGACACACAGAGGGAGTGAGTGAGTGAGGGAGGGAGTGAGTGAGTGAGTGAGTGAGTGAGGTAAATGTGAGGAAATGCAGGGGGGGGGGGGGGGGGTTTACACAGGCAGACAAACATGGCCTGAGCTCTTTGCTGTGATATCATAGCAAACACACTTCACACAGATGGGTAACTATGTTGTTGTGCACGTGTGTGTGAGTGTGTGCGTGCGTGCGTGTGTGTGTGTGTGTGTGTGTCTGAAACTTTCTTTGTCCCTTTTTTCAGAGGATTTCTCCTTTGCTCCTGTTACAGGGGCATCTGCTGCCTTAACACGCCCCAGTTCCTGCCCCTGGGGGCTAATTCCACAGCCTGGGTTTGTACTGCAGGAGGACAGAGGATCAGCTTTTATCCGCCCCTAACAGCAACGTCTCTGATCTTCTCTCTGTGTGGCATTTAACCCCTCTGCCACTGTAGGTTCACTCATTCATCTGCTTGGAAAACCATCACACCTTTCACCCGTGGACAGATTTGTCTCATGAGCCAGTGAGTGGGTAACCGTCAGGTAAACACGTTTGGGTCCAGATGTTCTATCACTCTTAGAGGGAACCATAAGTTAGTTAGCTCCAGTCTGGCTTGGCGGTACATGAAAGCAACACTTACTCTGGCTGCAGATCAGACTGGATCAGCTTTAACATCCTTTTCATGAATTGTTGAAAAGATCAGTAATAATAGAAGTGAAAGAAATAAATACAAACACGCTATAATGCTTAACATTAGGACATCTGTCTTTATAAAACACCTCATTCTTCATTTTTACACTTTAACATGGAGATGCTGATTTGCAGCTATAATCATGTCTTTATTGGGACATCCTTCACTAACTCTGTTTGCTCAGGGACATGGATGTTTCATCCCCCCAAATAACAAGCCTGGGGGAGCCTCAGCTGTGTGGTGGAGTTGCTAATGCTAGCGGTTAGCTTCAGTTGAAAGAGACGTTCTCTGCTGATTCTGGATGCTAAAGCAACAGCTTTCCTTGTCGTGAGTCAGTATGGGTAAGTCCAATTCTCAGTGTGACGTAGATCTGTCAAGCTTTTTATATCCTAGAGTTTCACCATCTATTTTACACCAGAAGCTAATACAGGAGATAGGTCTTCATGTTCACCCTGCATATAACTTATCAGAAATAGTCCTTAAAAGTGTTTTTCAGTGAACCGCACCTTTAAATGCTGGTAACGTGAAAGTGTGTGGATGCTACGTGATTTTACTTGTGCTCGGATGTGAATCTCTCCAGAGACATGACTGCTGATTTATCAGGTTTTCTCACCTATGCAGTTACCCTGGGAGTCCTGACTGAAGCCTACGGGGCAGCGGGGTTTGGGCTCACACCTGAACGAGCCCTCAGTGTTCACACACTCAAAACCATCGCCGCAGTTGTGACTCCTCTGCACACACTCGTTGATGTCTGTGGGAGAAGATCACCGGTGAGTGTGAGAGGACGTAGAAAACACCACAGATCACACAGAAACAGATGCAATGCTTTACTTGCCCACTGGAAGGCGCTGTGCTTTAGTGTCAGAGTTTAGGATCATTAAATCAACCTCAACACAACCAAACAACAGCTTCCTGTTTCAGCGTGAGGGCTGCAGCTCATGAAACGGCACAGCTAACGTCTTGTGCAGATGCTGTTCACTTCTCTAGAGTTTCCTCCCACCTTTTTAGCAGAAGCTCGACTTTTTCTCAATAAACCCTCCACATCTGTCACTGAACAGCATCTACACATCTGGAATAACAGCCTCAAAAAACAATATGAAGTCAATCTATGTGTGGCTGCATCAGACTAATGCTTTCACTCGGAATAAACACAATGAATATGTTGCTGCTGGTCTGGAGCAGCCCTGTCAGGAGTCCCTGTGGACGAGAAGAACCGGTTCACTAACGGGGACCGAGCATCTGGCACCGACTCAAGCCCAGCAGGTTGTGCAGGAGGCTGAGGGACAGCGATGGAGAGAGGAAGAGGGATAGACTTCTGAGAGACTATAACAGTGGCATCCCTCCAGGAGAAAGGACTGCAAATGTAAATGCTGGACTTTACTGGCACTTTGAGGGAATCAGTCCCTTTGGAAACCTGACAAGCGTTTCTGTTTTGTTATGGAGACCTAAAACACGACACAGCAATGGCTCAGTTTGTTTAAACATGGGAAATATGACTTCTAAAGGAAAGGACACAATTAGATACTTCAAATGTTAATTTAACATTTTAACTGACTTCAGTTCAAATTGCACCTGTTGTCCCTATTCAGAGAGACTTGCTTTTAGTTATTATCATTGATGTAATCTTTATTTATTCTGCCTTTTAATTAGTTTTGAAATCATAATTATTAGAAAAACAATGATTTTTGCAATTCTGACAAAGGCACGGGGCTCAAGAGGATAGATCAATCTTTTTGACATTTAACAGTAAAATGTTCTTGAAATTGCTTATTGACATGTTTGCATGTATAAAATAGGTTGGTAACAGTGATGCACAAATGGATTCTTGAGTATTTTGTAAACCCTGAGGCTCTTATTGGCGCCTCGTTAAAAACCATTAGGACCTGTTGTATGAAGTGAACCATCTTACGGCGGCGACGGTCTGTAAAGAGAAAGATGGTTCACAAATCTGAGCTGAGCTTCTTCAGAGCAGCAAGATAAACAAATCAACTGTATGATCGCCACAGAAACCAAACACAGGAACACTGTAGTCTTTCTGGGTCAGATCTCTGCAGCTTTTGTTTTGGAGGTGAGGGATTATTAGTGCATCCTTGGGAAACCTGATCGGTCTATAAAACAAACAATATAAAAAGCATCAACGACCATGCTGATCATTCCTGATGAGAAAAAATTGAAAATATCCATCCATCCATTTTTATCCGCTTATCCAGAGTGGGCAGCAGCCTAAGTAGGTAGGCCATATTAAATTGAATAGCCAGCAGAAAAGTAGATATTTTTTACTATTCTCTTTCGACAGATGACATAACTAGTAGCTGTGAGACATTTGTGTCACAATTTCCATTGTCAATTCCTGAGGGTATTCTAAGCAGCTCTTCCTCTATAATATGCTTTTCCCTCATTGTGAACCTTTATAAGTTGTTCACAGTGGGTGGAAGTGCGCACGCTGATGCTGCTCAGTGCTGATAAGGTGCAGTCTACCTTCACAAGTGTCACTGATGATCTGGTATCCAGGGGCGCAGGTGATCAGTCTCTGGCAGACAAAACTCCCTGCAGTATTCACGCAGCGCTCATTAAACTGGCAGGCACGTGGAGACAAACACTCGTTTATGTCTGCAGGAAAGAAATCAAGACAAATGTGTGCAGAAGATGAGGGCAGAGGGGGATAGGTAGTGAAAAGCAGTCAACAAGATGTACAAGAAACATCAAGTCAGCAGTTAGAAAGAGATTAAAGAGACAAATCCCCTTCAGGACAAATATTAGAGACAAACATGGAGAAAAACATCCACATTGAGCTGTTTTCTGCTCCATGTCTCTATGTCCTAACTCACATAGATCTACCTCCAGGAGACAGAATGGTCTCTATGTCCTAACTCACATAATTCCATTTTTGGTTCTTTTTTAAACACAGATAAGGTTTTTCTTTACTTTGCTGACGGTTTCATTTGTGGCTGCAAACATCTTCAGAGCTGGCGCCGATGGTGGCGTCACTTCCTACTCCGTTTATCCGCGGGCAGCAGTGGACGTTGTCGCCCTCTGCTGCCCACTCTCCCCTCCGATGATGCAGTCCCATGCGCGATCCAATGTGTAAACTCCATCGTCTCTGTTCATGGTCTCACATCCACGTCTCCTTATCTCTATAGCTTCTTTTATCCATCTTTTGTATTTCTGTTGTTCGGTGTTTATGATCCTTGTGTTGTCCCAGTACATTACAAGCTTTTCTCTTGAGCAGTGATCTGTTACGGCTGACTTCTTTATTTTGCTTTCTGATTCTTGTTTTGCAGCTCTTGTGTGTCTTTGACTTGTTTCTGACTGGATCGCGCATGGGACTGCATCATCGGAGAGGGGAGAGTGAGCAGCTGCCCGCGGATAAACGGAGTAGGAAGTGACGCCACCATTGGCGTCAGCTCTGAAGATGTTTGCAGCCGCAAACGAAACCATCAGCAAGGTAAAGAAAAACCTTATCTGTGTTTTAAAAAGAACCAAAAATGGAATTAGAAGACTAACTCACATAGATCTATTTCCAGGAGACAAGGTGGACGTATATAGTTCAGTTTCTGATGGTCATTGTGATTAAACCCACTATTTGCCTCCATTCTGGTTAGAAAATAGCAGGTGGATTATGGAATGCATTTGGTGAGCTATGCGGTGATAACGCGTGAATGGTTGGGGTAATCCCTCTGGTGTTGCATCAGTTCAGGACCACGATGAAAACGTCTGCCAAAGGAGGATTAGAGCTGCATCTCTTCCAATCTAGAGGCGCTGATGAGTGATGGAGACAAATCAGTGACAGAAGCTCTCTGCCACAAAGGTCTGCTCTGCTGGAACCAAATTCCTCTGGCTTGAAATGAAAACTGGGGTCAAGGCTGGACTTCAAAGCCCAATGTTCACTTGTGTCTTGACACAAAATGTTTCTACGCATGATCGGCTTCATCACGAGGTTTTACCTTCACAAGAGTGTCCATCAGCTCTGAGGGAGAACCCTGGCAGACAGGAGCACTGTGGCCTTCCTCCCACTGGGGTGCACTGTTGCTCACAGATGCTGTCGCCTGAAAGCATACGGCACAGTCAAAACATGTGGAATATAATCCTTCCACAGCCTAAGCAGGAAAACAGAGTTCTTGTGTTTCTAGAGTGATGCCTGAAAAATGTCACAATGTGCTAACAACCAACTACCGCCATCGAGACCAAGCAAGGGGAACAAAATGTAAGCCTGCATGGATCAGAGTATCGAAGCCTTGTGAGAATAAGTGATCATTTAAAAAAGACATTTTCAGATTTCATAAAAAGGGTGTGTTGGAGTTCCAAGCATGCCCGTCTGTGTCTTGTCCTCTAAACCTACTTCTAAAAGCTGAAGATGCTTACTGTGAGCTATCCCTTGCCTCATTAAGCCACATATCTAACCTTCACAGGGGTTGAGCAGGACCCCGGGCTGGTGGGGAGGTGGAAGTGGAGAGGTGGTCTTCTCCGCCTCTGTTCTGTCATCCTCCTGCAGTTTGTTCTCCTCATCCACAGTCTCTGCACGGACATGAATAACGTCAGGACTGGAGCAATGGGTGGCACTGTAATCACTAATCCAGCCTCTCCATCATCAACAGCAGTCAGAGCTCTGCAGACACATTCTGTAATCTGAGGCTGTGGAGTTCATGAGTGACAGCTGCTAAAGTAACGCAACGAGAAAAAACATGGCCTTCAGACATGCATTTGGGTTTATTATTGTGTCCAATACCTCACTGTAATTTACTGAGAGCTCCGACATCAGGTTCCTGTTGAGACAGGCTTGTGTTGGTAGCAGCAAGCGATTGTTGATTAATGCCTGGCGCTCTGCAAACTTCCTCAGATTAGAATATTTCTGAAGAGAGGCTGAAGAGGCCGAAGCAGCTACTTCACAAAACAACATGAACTTTGTACTGAGCCAACCTGTCCTACGTTTTAATGAGTTAAACTGTATTAAATAATTAAACTAAGATTCAAAAAAATGTCAGCACTACTGTGAGAGGCTCATCAGGGTCACCATAGTAACACAGTGTCTCTCACAGCAAGACACAAATTACACCTCAAGCAAAGACTTGATGAATGAAAACTACATAAATCCTTTTTTCTATGACATCATAGCATAATATAGCTCACTTGTGACAGGTCAGGAAGGCAGCCATAGCAATAAGGGTGCTCCAAGGCTTATGCATTAAATATTTGTACACCTGAGAAAGCTGTGCCATCCGATTAGACTGAAATAAGAAATGAAAGCTGAAATTAGGAGAAAAAAATCACTGAAACGATGTTGGAAGGACTTTTGACACGAGCAGAGATCCAGGAAAGGGATTTTACTGTAAGAGTAGAATAATTGTAATTAGGCTTGCAGACAGGAAGGAACTGAAATAGCCAAGAAAATAATACAGAGAGACGGATGGAGTCTTTCTGACATGAAGGGCAGACTATATGAATATTATTACAAATGAAAAACCACAGAAAGTTGCAGCCACAACCACCCTACGGACGTCAGCAAGACAAACGACGAGTTGTGGTTTTGAATTTACCTTGTGCACAAGTGAAAGCGTCCTCTTGTAGCGCGTACCCGGGAAAGCACTCGCACCGGTAGGAGCCAGGCGTGTTGATGCACCTGTGGTGACAGATGTTGCCCTCATATATCAGGCACTCATCCATGTCCTCCACCTCAACAGGACCCTCGACGGCATTCTCGCCCTCCCGCTCCGCACCGATGGAGAAGGCCTCTTTAGGGTACAGGCTGTCTGATACTGCAGCACAGGGGGGGTGAGTGTGAACGATGCATAAAGGAAAACACATATCTAGGCGTAACTACAGAAAAGCAACACTGAAGGCCGCCCCCATCGTTTAGCAGCTTCTTATAAAAGGAGAGCAACAAAATGGGGGGAGTAAAACTTGTATGAGATGAAAAATTAATCCTGACTATTGTGTCCTTTATCACCGCTAACCACAAGGCAGAAAGAAGAAAAGTTTCAGAATGAACGAGGTCTGAGCCAAGTTTCTGAGCTTGTCAAAGCCAAACCAAATGAGTTCTACACAACTTCAAACAAAGCAGTGATTTACTGGAAAAGAGCCGAAAACACGATGCCCAGCAGGCAGGCAGACATTAGATCTGAAAGAGCTACAGTTCATGAGGTGAATGAGGCTGTTAGGGGCAGCAGAGTGGGGTCTTGCTCTAGATTTATTCTTTTCACAGCAGCTTTATTTCTTGTTGCAGCACATCCTTTATTGGCCTGCAGTTCAATACGTGTGTGTAGGGGGCTGAGTTGATTTAGTTCATTATCTCCATAAAAAAAATTGTATATTAGATTGGACACTGATATATTTCAAATGTTTTTTTCTTTAATGTTGATGCTTATAATTAACAACTAATGAAAATCTTAAATTCAGTACCTCAGAATATTTGGATGTTAATTAAGACCGAAGCAAAAATAAGGATTTTTAGATTTTTAGAAATGTTAGCCAACTGAAAAGTATGAGCATTCACAGCACTCGGTGTTTAGTTGGGGCTCCTTTGATCTGGATTACTGCAGCAATGCGGCGTGGCATGGAATCTGTGGCACTGCCCAGGTGTTATGAGAGCCCATGTTGCTCTGATAGTGGCCTTCAGCTCTTTTGAACTTTTGGGTCTGGCATGTTGCATCTTCCTCTTCGCATTAAGGTCAGGTGAGTTTGCTGGCTAATCCAGAACGGGGACACCATGGTCCTTAAAAGCACACTTGGCAGTTTTGCTTGCTTTTAGCACTCCCTAGTGCCTGTTATTGATTATCTGTGGTCAAAGCAAAAGTGAAACTTATCTCCTCCCTGTGCGTTTGTGTTATATCCTAACAACTGTCTCTCCAGCCTTTATTAGTGTCTACAGGAGTGATTCATCTCTAAATGATACAAATCAGCTGTGTTCATCATCTAAAACAAGCAGGAAACGTACTGGAAGCAGACTTGAGTGCCAGGTATGTAAGCTGAATTTTTTTTTTTAAAGTTACCCCTACTTGACACCAGAAGCATCAGCGAAACAGAACGGGAGCAGAACATTACTGCTTCAAATATAATCCATTATAGTATATGGGGATAATTCAAACCAGCCACGATGAGGCAATTTTCAGGCGCTTCCCAGAAGCGGCACACCACACCACTAAAGCCGTTCTTCCGGCTCTTGGAGAGTTCAGACGCTTTTTTCCTCCTCTCCTCCCTATCTTATCCCAAGGCTCTTTGTCTGTCTTTGGGTGTACGGCGCTTCTTCATTTTTTCTGGAAACTGTAAATTATTAAAAATGCATCTGGTCAGTTGGTCTCTCAACGCGATTGACAAATTTTTTTCAACGATGAGAACAGGAGAAGGGGCTCCCGGATGCCCCTCTGGGACAGAGCCAGCTGGGCATATCATGGACTCCTAGAAACAGTGGAACCTGATCTGCCTCTCTCAACTGTCTGTAGAGGATTCTGAGGACGTCTAGATATTTGTGGTGTTTGTGTCAGGTTTCTTGCTTTTTGGCCTGAGTGGTTACCTGGCTTACCGTAAAATTAATGAGCTGTCGAGGAATATTGACTCAATTCCGGAGCTCAGGGATGGATTACACCATGTTGTGAACGCACAAACTCATATAATTGTCGAGATGAGTCGTAAGCTTGGAACTTTGGCTGAAATTCAGACTGGCACAGAAGGTGGATTTGATCAAGGAGAAAGTGCGCCATTATTGGATTTAGAGGGGTCGAGGACCAACAGAACTTTAAGATAGAGAGGGAATTATCTCTGTGTGGCCCCAAGACAAGTTATCTTATCCGAATCTAGTGCCATTGAGCCTGTGAGGTGGAAGTGATTACTCCCCCTCAGAAGAAATGTCTGGGCGGGACTGCGACCAGTAAAGGCCATTGGATCGTTTCCAGGAGTCACTGTTCTTTCTAAACCCAATTACCTCCCTCCCCTGTCCAAACAAAGGTGACGAGCGCTGCTTATCGCAGCTGCATGCACTGATGTGTGGAGAGTCCCCAACCCTACCTCCCCACCTAGTGGACACTTATGTTGTGTAATGTCTGAAGTATGTTGCATTTCTGTCTGAGGTGTTTTTTGCATAGCAAAGCTGCCCTCCCTGTGGAGGGTAACTCTGAAGTGCCTTTTTTTCCTCCACCCGACTCAATCCTTATATAAACCCTCTGATCTCTATTAAGGTAGCATGACTCTATTAAGGTAGCGTGACTCGGGTTGCAAAAGACCACAGTCACCTATTCTTGTCATGTGTCTATGTCTATGTATGTCTGATCTCAGAATTGTGTGTACTGAAACTTTAATTTCCCCTGGGATTAATAAAGTATCTTTGAATGGAATTTGAATTGAATTTGAAATTGAATTGAATTGAATTGAAATGAATTGAATAGCATTGGGTTCCATTTTTGGCGCGAGCCGCTTCTGGGATGCAACAATTTATGCTGTTAACATAGGGCTAGACAGGAAATCTCACACTTTTTCAATGTAAACCCCCTGGTAATTTTCAAAATAAAAGTCTAAAGCAGCAATGCAATTTTATATCTATGTAGATTACGTCAATACAAGTGACCTAACGGCTTATTTACTCCCTGCTTCTTTCCAGAAGTGCAGCGATGTGTTTATCATGGCTTTAATCCTGGCAGTGGAGAGGAACAACATCGTAAATGACATCAAACAGCAATATCAGAAGTGATTTCCTTCTTTTGGGTTAAACGGCGTACGGCATAAACTCAAGGTACTTTGTGATCTTGCGAGTTAAGCAAGGAAGATGGCAGAAGTCTCGAGGGATTTTGTGATCTTGTGAGTCGAGTGAGGAGCACATCGGAGAAACCGCTTCACGGCTGAGACCCTCCCGGTGTGCACTGCGGTGCAGCAAATGTCGCAAGTGAACCTTTCCGCTGCCGTTCAGCCCATTTCCAGTGTGCAGTAGGGTGTCGGCCCGGCACTCTGAAGCAGAAAATGCTGTATTCTGGCCATAGAGAGCAGTGGAGCTCTGAATGACATTTCATTAACCCTGTTAAGAGTCATTTTAGGACATACTGAGAAAAGAAAATGATTTTAAAATATGAAAAAGTTGCGAAGAATGCCTTTCAACCAGGTACTGGTGGTTTTGGCACTGTATGCAGGTTCCAAGTCTTGTAGGAAAATTAGATCTACATCTCCATAAAGTTGGTCAGCAGCAGGAAGCATGATGTGCTCTAAAACTCATGGTCTGCGTTGACCTTGGACCTCAGAAAACACAATAGACCAACACCAGCAGATGACATGGCACCCTAAACCATCAATGACTGTTGAAACTTTACACTGGACATCAAGCAGCATGGATTCTGTTCCCCTCCTCTTTCTCTGCATTCTGGGACCTTGATAAATGCAAATTTCACTTTCAACAAAGAACATAACTTTGGACCCCTCAGCAGCAGTCCAGTCCGTTTTGTCTTTAGCCCAGGCGAGATGCTTCTGACGTGTTCTCTTGTTCAAAAGTGGCTTGACATAAGGAATGTGACAGCTGAAACCAGGTCTTGCACACGTCTGTGTGTGGTGGTTCTTGAAGCACTGACTCTAGCTGCAGTCCACTTTTTGTGAATCTCCCCCAAATTTTTGAATGAGTTTTGTTTCACAATCCTCTCCAGGGTAATCTCTAGTGCTTGTACACTTTTTTCTAACATGTCTTGTCCTTCCCTTCACCTCTTTATTATTGTGGTTGGACACAGAGCTCTGTGAAAGGCCAGCCTCTTTAGCAATTTGTGTCTTGCCCTCCTTGTGCGAAGTGTCAATAGTTGTCTTTTGGACATCTGTCAAGTCAGCCGTCTTCCCCACGATTGTGTAGCCTACAGAACTAGACTGAGAGACCATTTAAAGGCTTTTGCAGGTGTTTTGAGTGTGTAATGGAAAAAATCTAACATACAAGTTTCACTTTTTGAATGGAATTACTGAAATAAACCAACTTTGTCATGATACTGTAATTTTATGACCAGCAACTATAGGTGAGTTACCTTTTCTCAGAGGCAGGGTAGAGTCCAGAGCAGGTCTCTCTCTGACTGTGGGGCTCTCCTGCTCCCCCCTGCAGCAGCTTAGGAAGATGTGTTGGCAGTGGAAGCCCATGTAGTGGTGGGCTTCACAGCCATGCCCCTGTTTGTGCAACTGCAGCCCGAGAGAGCAGCAGCTGCAGCACTCCTGCAGGTCACACAATACGGGTCACAGGGATGCCGTTTTCTCATTTACAAATAAATGTCATGGTTCTAACAAAGAACCAGAACGTTTGACGCATGACTTGTCTGTGTGCATGTATGTGGTACGTCACACGTCAGGAGTTTGTGAGGGAGTCTCCATAAATTCTTAAAATATTTGGCTAGCTATGGTCAACTCCTGTTTTCTTCTTTGATTTTTGATAATTATTTTCCCTTCATGGTGATTTTAGCCAAAACATTCAAACAATCAAACATATGTTGATTCTTCTCTTTTCATAAATTTAAGTTAATGATATCTTTTCTCATCTGGAAAAAAATATGTTTCTATACTTGAAAGCTATGAAATCTATGTCTACCCTTAGTTATTTATACTTTACTGTTACCTTAATCATTTATTCTTAAAAATGAATATAGCATCATGCAAATTCCACATTTTGGAGCCTTTTACCATGTTATTATATTATCTCATCATGAAAAACACCCTCAAAGCAGTTTCCTGTCTCAGCTGCTGTTTCCCTTCAGCTGTGCTAAACCCTGCCTAGCTGTTGTAAAAACCTACATCATCATGCCCCACTCCTCCCCATCCTCGGCGTCTCAAGTCTGGATCCCTCCTCCCCTGGACTGTAAACACTAACACCCAGTCTCTCAGTGTAGCTAGTGGTGAGATTATTCTCCACAGTTGTGAAGAAGTGATTTCTTTCCTTTTTCTGTTTTCAGCAAAAGCTGAATGGGACGTTTCGGCAGCCAGTCCAGCGGGAAATGTCCCGGTGCTTCTAATGTCCAGTTCACTGCTGCTTAGCTGGGAATTTAGTGTTATGTTACAAAATGGGTGGACCCAGCATTTAATTCCCTGACAGAAGGAATGGCTCATGAAAATAACTTATATTAAAGGACTTCTCAATAGTGCCAATGGTAATATTGTATCATATATTGTGCCTATCGTTGCTCTGGAAGGTGTAAAATAGCATGATACAGGTCATTTAAGACACCTGAGGCTGTTCACTGATACCTGCCTTAAAAGAATCAATTCCACATTTACTGCTGGCATCCTCTTCACATAAGCTTCCTGCTTGGGCTGCTTTAACTCCAGCCAAGCACTGGCTTTCTTTCAGAGAGCTGAAGCAGCACTGTTGTTGTGCAGTCCTGATGGAGAAAGATATGTGTTATAAATGACCGTGGAGGTGTTTGGACTCAAACGCTGCTCTTACAGGAATCGCCATTCTGGCCAAAGTGCTGAATAAATATTCTTTCAAATTAAAAGATCTTATTTAAAGGATAAATTCAACCTGGAATATCTAAACAATCACTCATCATGAGACAAAGAGACAAACAGGTAAAAATGAGTTTAGAGGTTTTACTGAGAAAAATCTCTGCCTTAAATAGTTGAAAGTGGAAAGCCTGAGGGAACAGGAAACTTGTTAGGCAACATTTGGGGAAGTTGAGACAACTCTTACAGTTAAGTCTGGCATCATCACACTCTGTTGTAAAATGTCTGAAAACATGCATGAACCTTGAACTGAACTGTGTAAAAACCATTAAAGGTATCAAAATATCAGTTCAGACATATTAGTCCAACTCTCTGATGGAAAAGAATAAAGTTTGAATGATTTTTCTAGAGAACTGAGATTTCTCACACATTTCACCAAATTCTCACTGTTGTTTGTGTAGCAATTCTTCTGCTTTATTATGTTTAGGTCATTTTGTCCATAAAGTCCCAGATTAGCATCAAATGTCCAAAGCTGCAGCAGGAATCGTGACACCTACAGGTCTTCTGCCCCTGGTGGGGGATTTAAGAAATGCAGGCAATGGGTACCATTATTTCCATAATTTTTTATAGATATTTATATAATTTCAATATTATCATTAGCTATAAATTGCTGTGTTTAAAGGGAAATGAAAGAAGGACAAACCAGACTTCACTTCCCACAAACCAAGTGTTTTCCTGCTCAGTTTGTGAGCATTACATAACCAACTCACCAGCAGACTGAGCGCCTGTCTCCTGTTGGAGGCTCCGTGCTGTTGCAGCGACCATTAACCGAAGCCCATTTCCCCCCAGTTTCACAGCAGCTCTTCACCAGCTCGCTGACAGAAACTGGAATGAAAAACAAACACTCAGAGCAGCCGGGGTTTCGGAGCTATCCTCATTATTCTAACAGAAACAAAGGTTTAAAGTATGAATTCAGAATGAATCTGATGTTTAAAATGAGCAACTAAAACAATCATGTCTGCAGGTTTTCACCCACAGCAAAACAAGAGGAGAACCCCAAAGCTTCCATTCAGAGTGAAAACTTTGTAAAGCTTTAATTGGTTTCTCAACAGTATGGTCTGCTGACACATATGAGAAGAATAAAGAAAATGTTGTTTGCACATAATTTAATTATGCACGTACATACAGGCCAGCCCAAGGCCAGTTTGGCACTTTAATTTGCACATCTACCTCTGCAGTTTGCAGAAATCCCACTTTAATAACGAGACCAAAGCAACTCCACAGACCAGTGTGGGTGACTGCTGCAGCGTGCATAATTTAAAGGTTCGCAAAGGAGAAAATCAAAATGTTGACTCTTTGATACAAAACTACAGTATCTGTGCCAGCTGTGCAGACACACAGGTCCCTTTGAACTTGTGTGAAAGTTTATGAGAAGGCGGCAAAGGTACAACTATTCACCATTCACTTCCCATTCATTTTCTCCTGGTGGAATCGGCTCACTTCTCCAGGTGTCCACGCCAAGTCTTCATCAGGTTTCCAAAGGGTTTTGATTTTAGGGGACTTGGACATAATTCGCCAACCTGCACTGTCTGATCTACTTATGACGGCACTAATCCAGATGTGCATTAACTACACTTTCTCTCTGTTCTAGGTCTGTCATTAGATACGTCCATCAAACTGACCGTGACACCAGATGTTTTGCCCTTTTTGTCTCAGTCCAGTAGGGATGACATTAAACTCTTCTGAGCAGCAAAGAGCAGCTCTCAACATGTCTGCAGGCATCATAAAGCAGCACATCACCTATCGTTGAGGCTTTTATGGACTTAGTAAAGCATTTACAGTTCTCTTATAAAAACATGGTTGGGTTTGTGTCTCCAGAAGACATGACACTATGCCCATCTCACGTGTAATTTGGCCTAGCAGGTGGTTGTGACATTACAAAAAGCCCTTTGGTGCTATGAGCTCATTTGCAGCTGTTTTTACTTTCATTTCCACTAAAATTATGACTCAACTATCACGTGAGGGTCCTTTTTCCACAACCAACAGAGTATGCAGCCAGAACCTGAGTGCCCAAAGGGGCTATTCACTTTAATTCAATTCAGTTTATTTCTACAGCACCAAATCACGACAAGAGTCGCCTCAATGCCCTTCACAAAGTAAACGTTCCAATACAGTTCAGTTCATTAAGCCAATCAGTAAAACGTTTCCTACAAGGAACTTTAGTGATTTCCAATGGGTCCGTGTGTTTAAAATCACTAACACTTGCTGGGACTTGTCATTAATAGTATGTAAACTTTTCAGGACCTTATTTTTACATATCCTAGACACACCCAAAGCCAGAGGTTTAAATATGCAACATCTGCATCCGCGGCACGCCTCCATCAAAACATTTTCCACACTCTTAATTAAAACCTGCTTCCCACTGCCTTGTTAGGCTGCAAGTATTTATTCAGACAAGTGTTTGAGAATCAGAACAGGGGAAATTTACTCAGCTGTTGCCAAAGAAAATGAGCAGAATTTTGGCACTGATGGGTTCAAAAAGAAAACATTCTTCTCTAACTGGAGGTTTTTAAGTCCAAAAAGTCCCAGCTTTTATCGGCGTTAAGAGTGATTGCATCAGTGAAGCATGAATAAAACAACTTTATATAAAATAGAGGGCTGGGAGGACGTATCAAAGGAGAAGTGAAGGAATCCAGCCGAGAGTCAACGGCAGGTTGGTTCCTCTTTAACTCCTAGTGTGGGTGTGTTTATGAGTGGTTTTCTGCATCTGGAGCAGATGTGTTTCCTAAACATGGGTGAATTTGTCAGTAAGGGCATGTTGACGATGGGAGACGTCGCTAAAGTGACAGTGAAGGAGTTGAAAGGCACAGTAGACCAACCAGAGAAAGCCATCATCTCCTAACTGATCTTTAAAGCAGCGGTACAGTAGAACAGCTCAGGAATCCACCGTCCTCTTTCATCACCAGGAAAATTACACATTAGCTCAACTCACTCCGACATGAAACATGCTGTGACAGTTTAGCTGATAAAAAAGGGCCTCTACTTTATTCCACATCTCCTTAGATGATTGTGGTGTGTTCTTCCTGCATGCATCTTTTTATGGGTCAAGCTATTGTTCTGGTTGGTGTTTGCTGAAATGGAAAAATGGGTGGAATTGTGCTACAGATTACCAGGAAGATTGGGAAAGCAGCAGCCTCATGGGAGATGGGCAATCACACAGACCCAAGAGGGAGCAGGGAGTAGCGTCTGGCAATCACGCGATAACAGAGGCCTCATTCATCAGAGGACGACGATGCTGCCAACAGGTACAGCCCCCAAGAAACCCTAAACCAGGTTGGCTTAGCTTTGAAAAGTAAAACAAGCCACACACACACACACACACACACACACACACACACTGCATCTGGCTGCAAAGCAAACAGCAAAGATACAGACAAAAAAACATGTTTGGAATAAAAAGCCATGTGTTGTTATTCATACTTTTCTCTTTTCCTGTCCAATAACGTGGACATCCTGTGCTAACGGTGTTGATAACAGACATTGGTCAAGGCCTTACTTAATCAGCTGGGTTTTTCCTGTTAGTGCGTTAGCATGTCATCACCCAGAATCGTGCTTTAGTGCACAGCAGTGAACTCTCGGCATCTGTAGTACATCCTGAAGAAAACTGCACAACTGTTTGTTCAAAGACTAATTTTCAGACGCATCCCTCCATGAAATTGTGTATAATTTATTTCACACTGGGTGTAAATAATTGAAGTTATCTTCAACTGATTTAATGACACAAAAGAAGGTGTGATCCATTTTTAATTTTCTGTAAAAGGCAATGAAATCTAATGCCTTCTACAGCATTCTACACTGTAATATTTTGTGTTGCAGTTTTCCTCTCACCAAGACATCCAGCAGACATACCTGTCGGGTGTCGAAAATAACAAAAGGTCTTTGCAGGTCTCAACAAAAATGGTCGAGCTGAAGAGCAGGGTTTCTACCCACCTACTCTCACGGAAAAAGATCAGAAGCTTTTACACATCCACATGCATTTTTATTTATTTTTTGTCCTTTCCGATATTTAAATCATGCAAATTAAAGTTTGGATCACAGCTATCTGTGTAAATAGGTCATATAATCACTCTGTATCATTATTTAATACAAATTAAGCACAAAGGATACAGAGGAATGTGAGGGAACTCCTCACGCCTGAATGCACCTTTAACGGCGCCATTGGAGCACATCTGCAGTTCTTTCAGCCATTCTGTTGTGGATGTGCTGCTGTTTGGGATTATTGTCCTGTTTTACGACTCCGCTGTGGGACAGATGGCCTCATCACAGGTCTACAGAGGAGTTAGTGCTCAAACCATCAGCCCGCCACCCCCGTGCTGACTGCTGTATTTGAGCTAAAATGTGTGTGTTACTCTGAGTGGCTAAGACTGATCCAAGGTCAGAGCTGGGAGACGTTTTGTCTTCCTTGAGATATTTTACTGATGGATACACTTTCCCACGGTACAAAGTTGGACTCTAAATGGTTTGGAATTTTTCCTGCGACTCTCCTCACTTTCATGAGCGACGGCATTTTCTACTCTAGGTTTGTTGCTGACTTCTGTTCTCCTCAGCTTTACTTAATGCTCTGAATGTTCCACATCTGCAAACTGACAACAAACCTGTTTAGTAAAACCTGCTTAACTTTTTCCCATACTGGGTGAGAGTCACTGCCCTAATTTTAAACAGGAGCAGTAGGAGTGAAAGCAGTGCTCCATTAAGGTTGGCTCGAAATATGGGATGCACAGAATCAAACGAAAGAAAATTTAAACATACTAACAAATCATTTTTATGTCATCATAACTCTGAATTACATGTCCTGGATCAGTGCTGGTCCTTTCTGTTTGCTTCGGTCCAAACACTCCTCCTGTCTAACTCCTTTATCTAATCTGTGCACACACTCCAGCAGATCTGCTCTCCTTCATATTGCAGGGTAAAAGGCAGCAGCAAGGACGTAATTTTCACTTTAGAAGTGGGGGGGGGGGGACACGGGGGGGGGGGGGGTATCTTTACAATATGTTCTAATGGGAAACAGGCTTCAACACAAACGGTTGCTTTCGGCTTGGTCCTAGAGCTCAACCAGTGTCAATTTAATATAGCGTAATATTGTTTTTGGATGGTAAAAAGTGCAGGGGTCAAAACTTGACTTTGGAAAAAGTGGGGGGGACATGTCCCCCCTGTCCCCCCCCAAAATTACGTCCATGGGCAGCAGCATAATGTGATTTAACACATTAATATTCAGGAATGAGGATTCCAAAGGTGTGTGAGTTTTTGCAACACTTTAAAAGTCTCCTTTGTGGGTTCAAACGGAACAGCTCTGCTGATTTTGTAAAAGAGTGGTTTGGGTTTACGAAGCAGACCTTTAATGTGATTTTTGAAGGTGGTATGACTCACCTGGTCGTGATCATAACTTTTTCACCTGTCTCTGCCCTTGCAGTGTGAAGGAGTGCTGATCTGCTGGGTAAAATGCTGATGAGGTTTTTTAAGTTAACACTTTCACCAGAGCAAAGTGGTGTGTGTAAAATCACGGCGAACATTTTTGGCTCAAACATCTCAGGAAACAGCTTTTCCATGAACAATAGCTTATTTTTCCTGGATTTTTTCCAGCTGAAATGAAATGATTACCCTTTCTTCTTCAAAAGGCAGGAAGTGAGAGTCCATTTATTACTACATAGAGTAGTTTAGATGTTTGAATGAAATGTTTCAGGTTCATTTTCCTGCTCACTGGCATTTCAGCAATCAAAAGAAAACAGACACATGCACTTCTGAAAGCACTGAGTTACCTTCTGGTTCCTGAGGCTGGGGCTTGTGGAGGCTTAGGGTGTGTCTCAGAGCCTCCTCGCGGTCCTTCATCCTGATCGGAGCTCTACCGGTGGGACTGAGACGGACTGTGGGCTCCTCTCTTCCTAACGAGCTCCTTTGTTCCACTGACACTTGTTCTTGAGGAGAAAGGTAGACAGAAAAGGAGCGACCCTGGTTTCCTGCTTGGATCTGACTGTGTTTCTGCTGCTCCAAGTGTTCCACCCTCATGTTTCTGTGATTTTTGTGCCTCGTGGGTTTTTCTCCGACTTCCTGTTGCCGCCTATGGGTCTCTGCGTTGGCTCTCTGCATGGTGGCGGTTGTAAGCGGTGTTGTAGCATTGCTTAGAGCTCTGGCTGAGGTGGACTCCATGCTTCTCACTGTACTTTGGATTGTTTCAGTCTCCCTCATCTCATTCCAGCTGCCATCATAAGAGATGAAAGTATCAGAGGTTGTTTCCTGGTAAGCTGAAGGTACTGTGGAGGAGTCTGGTGTTTGGGCCAGATTTGGAGTGCTGGAAGATGTTGGTTCTGCCAGCATGTAGTCATAATCCTCCGAGCCAAAACTGGGTGGGTCCTGCTTATACAGTGGAAGAGAATTTCCTAGTGCAAGCTTGGAAAAGGGTTCTGCTGGAGAGGTTTGTCGTGTGTCGTGACCGCGGCTAATGTCTCTCCATGGACTGCTGTCAGTGGTCGTCTCCCCTGTGGGTTGATTAACACCCTGCAGGTCACAACCAGGGATGGGCGAGCACATTAACCGGCCCCCATCGTTTGGACAGTGGCAAACCTGACACTGGTCCATCTGAAAGGAGTGTCCCGCCTCATATTTCTTGTTGCCATGGACACAGCCAATACGCCCACACTGTGGACATCCATCTGCAGGTTGTAAAACATCAATGCAGTTGGGGGAAATTTCAGGGCATGGGATAAAATGACAGCTTATCTTGCCTCCTCCCTGGGGACAGGAGCATTCGGTGCTTCCGAAATCCACAAAGTAGGATTCCCCGTCCGGGACTTTCCCTTTCTGGAAGCCTGCTTGGATGCAGTCATAGTACTGGTACCCCTCGCAGGTGCACCCCTTTTGTGTGCATTTGGGACAACAGGCGCCGTTCTCCAAAACGGTTTCGATGCAGTTCTGCAGAACGGGGCAGGTTATACCGGTGCAGTCCTCCTGGCTTCGGCAGTCGTCCACACACAACACCAACACGCACAAAAATATTACTGTTAGCATTTTGGCTTTAAAGTAAAAACAAACAAAGATGTCATCCAGTTGGGAAGGAATTCAGTGTTTTATAGCCTGTAAAAGAAAACAGCAGTTAATGATATGTTTATTGTAAAAACAACTGTGTGCTGTGATTGGTTTAAAGCATTATGACCTACACATTTGGTTTTATTTGAACAACCTGTCTACTTTAGATCTGATCAGCTGCCAGACGTACATTTTTCCTCCTGTTTTGGCTCCACGGGGGTGAAAGGCCATGTGTTATATTTAACAGCACATGGAAATTTGGCTCCCGCTAAAGTTTAAGCAAAAAAGGTACAATAATGGACCAACAGAGGAGTTCCCAAATAAACGTTAAGACATAAAAAAGCAACATTTAATGCTTTCATGCAAGTCATTTTGCAACATTAAAATCTTGTGTTTATTGTTGTGTACAGTAATAGCTTTCCTAGATCCTGATCCAAAAGGGTTCAAATCAAGGCAACTGGACTTCTTTGGTCCAGAGAGTCAAGTTGCCTTGATTTGAACCTGGAAGACTGAGAACCTTCACCAGCATATTTCCAGATCCCCTTTTTTATTGGTGATGCACAACATGTATCAGGTGTGTTTTAACGAAGTTGTTCCTACTGTATGAACTGGCAGCCATTCAACGGTTGTTCTAAAAGCAGCCAATGAAATCTGGAGTTTTCTTTTGTGTGATGTTCTGCAGAGACAGACTCAGAACAGCAGCACAGACGTTGCGTCTGACAGGCTTGACGCTGATGATGTGACTTCCAATCTGAGCGTTTTTAAAACAGGTGATATTTTATTTCACTTATTTCTCACTACTTCTATTTAGAATAGAATAGAATAGAGTAGAATATCTTGTATTACCCACTATTTGCAAATGCAGTCAAACACAAACAGTAAAAACAATAAGAAAACAAATGGTGGGAAGTTGCACTTTAAACATATTGGATAATGCACAGATTTGCTTTGACTGCAAAAGAGTTGAGCATCATTTCTTACCAAGAAGCTGAGTTTAACCCCAAAATGTTCTCAATAACAAATTTGTCTTGAAATGGTTTAGGATTTATTTATTTTCTGGAGCTTATCACGTGTGGACTAATCGGATGGACTCCAGCCACAGAAGCAGCTGCTACACAATTCAAATGGGGCTTAGAAATAAACATTTCCCAATGCAGAAACAACTCACTCTGCATGTCACAGAGTCTAGAGGTCATGCAACAAAATACTGCCTACAACTTTTATCTGGTATTTGCTCAATTTTTGCAAAATATGCATTGGTAATTCAAAAAGCCATAAAATGAAACATACAGTAGTCCCACATGTAATAGCCTGTGGGTCGTTAACATAAATCGAACATCTGTTATTCTGATCTCCAAAAATGTACAGAACCACACAAAGTGCACTGCAGCAGTGTTTCGGGAATCAATGATGTCTTTGTGTGCAGAAGCTTCAGAATCATTTCAGCAGAACTTGCGGCCTAAACCTGGCAAAGTTTGGTGACTTAACGGTTCTGACCTCAGCTTTGATCCATGTGCACATGTTCATATAAGTAACAAGCAAAAAGCAACAAAGTAACCATGGAGGAGGAGATCTAAAAACGGATTACCTTAAAACAAAAATAAGGATCTTTTGTGTGTCCGTTGAGGGAATGTCATCAGTTAGTTTCAGTGAAGTGAGGGGTGCAGAAATTCAGACTTTCATCCTGTTCCACGTGCACGTGCACACCGTGATTTAGTACAAACCAAATGCACAAATCTAATGCTCACATTACTGACAGCTGGTCAACCTGCTGCAGAGGTAAACGTTCCTAAATCATTTCAGATGAACAACCGGAGGTTTAAAAATGTGAGCTATATATGATTTTTGTTTTCTCTAACTGTCACAACTATAAAACTGTAACCAACTATCCGTGCAAAACCCTTAAATCCATGATTAGAAGCTTAGGGTACCTAGCGCGCGCCGCGCGTGAGTAACTGTCTAAAGCTCACGTGATGTTGGAGGAGATCGAACAGCTGAGTGTGATGTTGTTCTTTATGAATGGAGAAGTTTTGTTGTGAGATCTTCTTACCTCGCGGCTGGCTCCTCTCCGCGCGCGCTGCTACTAAACTTCTGCGCCCTGCCTGGCTCCAACTCTGGGACTCTCCTCCGGAGGGCGGGGCCAACAACGTCCAGAGAAACATTTCCAACTTGTTTTCAAGTTCTTCTGTTTCTTCCTCTGTCTCTGCAGCTCGGGCCATGGCGACATGGAGATGCGTCAGTGGAACAAAGCGGGGTCAAAAAGGTGAGAGGTCAGTGATGGTCAGACCCCCCCGGCCCTTTGTCCTAACCTTAATAACACTTTGTGGGTAATAACAACAGGGATCATTTGCTTATTCGTTCTTATTAATGTTAATAAAGGGACCCTTGTTGTTAATTACTATTGAACTGGTCATGTCTGGTGACCTTATGAAGTAATAAGGAACAAATTATTAATTCATGGTGACACAATGATGCACTATTCGAACTAATGTTAAATAAGTATTGTCAATTAGTGATCAGCTAAATGTGAATTAATTACTCATTAACTGTTAAGTAAGGATAAACTAATATTAGTTTGAGATAAACTAATGGTTAATCAAATCATTAACTAATACTGAACACATTATTCTAATAAAGATAACATTGATTAAAGATGAAAGATTAGCTAATGGCTAATATTAAACAAATAAATAATGAATTATCATTAAGTTGTAGATAACAGAGGAGTAATACTAAACTAATGGGTGGGTGAACTAACTATGATAACTGAACTGACTAAATGGGAAGGGTCAATCTCATGGTTAGGTTAACATAAACAGCTAGATATTAACTAATTGCTCATTAATGATAAAATATTGATGACGAGTCTCTTAACTAACACGTTCATTTAAATACGGATAAGTCAACAGTGTATTAAGGATACGTAACCGTGAGCTGCATGTCTGTCAATAGGAAATGTTGAGTTGAGGAGTAGGAAACTATCATCTAACCATGAACTCCGCGGCTCTGAGAAAGTGCTTTATTCATGGCATGAACTCTAACCACACTAATGCATGAGACTTTCCTGAGCTGTACTCCTTTAAGGGTCATTGAGCCTCTGGAGAAAAGATTCTCCTCCTGGTTGCTGAATGAACTGATCAGGCGAGGTGGGGGGTGGGGGCAATAGGCCAGTGGTCTCTGGGGTTTCTCTTGAATGATCAATGACACAGATGAGCCAGAAGTCCTCTTATAGAGAGCTTCTGTTGGTTATAGCTGAATGTGGGCACAGCTGCACCAGTCACATGACCCCCAGGGAAATTTCTAAAACGTCTGGCTGGGCTGAAGAGTCTTTACGACTTGTCTAGTGCACAATCTGAATATGTAGGAAACGTGATAAGTCACACCAACAACAGGTCAGCTATCCTCTTGATTTGCACGTCAGCTGTTATGATGTATATCCAGCTTAACTTGGGAAGAGCTCACCTGTTAACCTGGGTCATCTGGTCATATGATCAATAATCGATTGGCTATGTTACTATGCTACTGCCCCGTTGTGGATGCCGTCCTTCCCTGACCATCAAAAAATCACAGCGAAGAAAAATCACTGCAAAACTTTTGCACAAGCATTTCTCCACACTTAATGCACAAACGATAAAGAATACACAACACACACTACCCATGACCACCTGCTGTAACAAGGCTGTTGAAATTCTCTGGAATGCCTTTTGTCATAATCACTTTAGTAATTAATTATCCCTCATGCCGTTTCTGCAACAGCACGTTGCTAATCTGAATTCCAGACTGTCAACAGTTTTGACATGAAAATAAATCACCTTTGGAATAGCAGTACGCCCTTTTAGATTCACAACACCTCAAACTCTCTAAAGCCAAAGAAACGTCTTCATGGCGCAGGCAAATGGTGCGTTTCCCCGACAGTAGTTGACCCTTCAGACTCTTAAGAGTCTTGAAACACTCAGTGCCGTAATGGCTTTCAGTCTGTGGGATAATGTCATACGACACGCTCTGATTTGGGAGAGCTAATTGGGCTCTGCACTGTTGTGATTTCTCATGCAGGCATGTTTTAATAGTAACTTCTTCCACTAACAGCGTCCAGAGCTTAACGGCCGCTCCCCTACTTTACACTAATCTACCTAACAGACATTTTATACTCCAAATTAAAAGTTCAACACATTGACTTTATTGTCTTTTTAGATTGGAGTGAAATCATTGAGCTTTAGGTCTTCAGAGAAGAACACATCTTTTAATTTCTTTCATTAAATCTGATGGAAACGATGGTGACATCATTGTTTTCACTGGCCCTGTACTGCAGCAAGTGTTAATGTTATCTGTCCATTGTGTGATGCATTGTCCTGGTCGTCTGTTTAAACAGGTGGATTGAGTTGTGCTTGTTGTAATCTTTGCTGAGTCATGGATCGGGAAGTGGTCCACTGCAATTCAAGTGTAACTCTACAAAGGCCTCAGTCTGCCAGGAACCATCCATGATCTCAATGTGAGAGTAACGTGTAATAAATCAAGCAGAATCACAGCAACACGTTCTTACAAATGAGCCAGATGACGATTTTCAGCAGGGTTCTCTAACTCATGTGGCCAAACATCCGTGTATGGTGCAAACCCTGCAAATGAGGAAGGCTTTTCTGGTATTCTAGAAGGTGTTTCCTGTGGTTGCACTGCTGTGTGGCCATAACATGAGGTAAAGAGAAGAAGTCATTGGAGTGGATCAGCAGAGACACCGAGGCTCTGCAGGGTGATACACCTGGGAAATTAAATTAGCAACTTTTTCATATTTTCACGCCATTTTCTTGAGCCAGTATGTATTAAAATGATCCTTTACAGGGTTAATGAAAGGCCACCCAGCCTCTATCGCCCCATGTGGCCAGAATATTCCACTTGCAACTTCAGACTGGTGGGCCACTCTGTTGGGCTGCAGTCTGGTTCCAGCACGTTTTAGATCATGAGCACAGCTGATTCGTTTAATTTAGTGATGAATCACTCCTGTAAACACTGAGGAAGGCTGGGGAGACATTAAAGCTGTTAGGTTAAGGTGTTAAAAAGATTAACGCACAGCGAGAAGATAAATTTTTGCTTTTGATTCTACAAACAGACACTATGAGGTGCTAAAGGCAAGCCAAAACTGCTTAGTCTCCCTTTAAAGGGGCATTATGGAAGTTTGACAGCCAAAACATGTATAGAAATAATACATTTCTTCTTCATACATTCTCCTGCAATGCCCTGGTCCTGTAGAATGAGCCCTGGCATTTTTACTGTGATTGCCTGTTTTTCTGTAAAATCACAGAAAAAGAGAGCTGCTCGGGTCGAGCAGGCTGCTTCATGCGAGTTCACGCTCAGGCATAGCCCGTAGCATTTGCTATCAGTAGCTTTAGCAGCAGAGAGAGAGGTAGTGCCAACTCAGCGACTTAGTCGCAGTTCCTAACGCCTAGTGATGAACCTAGCTACATTTCTGAGGACCCTTAGCTACTTTCTTCTAGATATTTCCTGCAAATTAGCAACAAAATAGCCATTTACGCTCCGAATCGTTCTTTGAACGTTGTTTCAGCTGTCATCAAGGATATAAATATTACAGATACTATAAACGTCACTGGTGGTTTGGCTCACCTAGTAAGATGTCGGACTCTCGTGCAGAAGACCTGGGTTTGATTTTTGATGTGAACATAGTTCATTTAGAGTTTCTTTTTTACATTAATGGTATATTTTTTTACAGTAAGATGCCCAAATTTCTATTTGAGACTCGCCGAACGGCATTGAATTCACAGATTAAAAAAGATGTGGGTTCAACTTTCATTTTGGAACAATTTTTCAAGCAAGGGTAGGGAATGATCTGAGCATGCAGGAGGACTGACCCATCTTAAACCTTTGTCGGCTGTGCTGAAGAGAAAGGTACAGAACCAAATTATTTAATTAATTAGCTGCGCGTTCTCCTGTCCTCTGTCCTCTGGGCCACACACTCACGCACACACGCACGCACACACACACACACACACACACACACACACACACACACACACACGCACGCGCACACACACGCATGCGCACGCACACAGACTTTGAATGAATGTCCACTGTACACATGAAAGAGTTAAATAAGAGTGACTTAACTTCAAACACTGATGCAAAGTGGATGTGAACTGATTATTTAGTCACTATGAAAGTTTTAATGATTCATTTTGATTAATTGAAACTCCTCTGTTCTAACTGCTTTACACTAAATGGAAAATATTTTTAAGTACTAAAGAGGACATTGACAGGAGTGAAAATATATGTTCTTTTCTTTCACTTTTATTCATAAACACATCACTCAACAGAAAAATGTGAGCAGCTGTGACCCTGTGGACATTTTATTAAAGAGAACAACGGTATAATTTGAGCTAGTCCCAGCTCTGCACCCGCTTTCATATTTCCTGGAACACATAAAATTGCTCCCTTAGGCGAAGACTGATTTCGCAAGACAGTAGCACCTTTTATTATGCCTACTTACAGCAATTTTTATTGTGCCTCACACCTTGGCAACCTTAAAGCTGCGCGCGTGCCAAAATGTTTGAAGCAGTGACCCCTCAATGATCTATTACTGGTGAAAGCACAGCCACCGGCTGCACACGTCTTCTCTGTGTAAGGTCTGAAGTAAATGCGCTGGCCTTCTGCACTTGTCTGAATCTAGACAAGTATAGTGGCCAAAAAATTTCCTGAAGGAAGGATGTGACTGCTGATGCATGCCAGATGGGAAGACACTCAACTGGCTTGCAAAGCAGCTGCTTGCAGTGCAGGAAAAATATTTCATGTGCAGCACACAGCTTCATGTATGATTTAAGATTTGGTTTGTTGTGTTGAGCCACTGATTTAAAAATAATAAAATAAAAGTAAAACGTGCTCACTAGAATGCAGGCAAGCATAGAATTCATCTTAAGAAAACATTTCTCAGTATTTTGAGAACTTTCTCGTTTTTGTTAGTTATTTCAGGCAGAGCCCCAATTCTGTCCAATTTGGTTTGAGGCAACTGCATTAAAAAAAAGAGTCTGTACAAGGGCCAAAAACACTCTAAAACCTTATTATAACCACATTTCTCTTGGTAGAGTTCAGTCCTGCCCCTCTCCTCTTGTATTTCAAAAGGAAGCTCAGAGTCACAGTGTGACATTCAGGTATTGTTTTACATGTTGACAGACATTACATCATCGTAAGGGTCTCGAGAAAAAGATGCAATGGTGAAAATGAATGCCAGGATGGAGCTCATGCAGCGTGACGTTGTGATAATAATCAAGAGGTCTATTTTCTTCTCAGGTTTCAGTCCAAGCCGGCACCATTGTACTGAGAGATTAGATTTTAGCTCCACAACAGCTTAGCAAATGGGAGAATGTACAGTTTAAAACGTGTTCACTTGCATCTATAAAGCTGTTAGTCGGCTGAAGCACAGCACCAGTCAGTGATGAGGTTTTACAGCTCAAAATCTTTGACTCATGTCACCTTTGGCTCAGAGCAGCATTATGTAAAACACTTTGAAACCACAGAGTATCCGCTAATCAAGTCGTGAATCTCTCTGTGTGGAGAAGAAGAAACCAGGAGGAGCGCTGCTGTAAAGACTTCAAAGCAGATGAGAGGATGGATCAGAAATAACGCTGCCAATTCAACTCAGAGCGCATAATTAGAAGCGTTTTAAAAATTCATGTTTTATCGCAAGACAAGTTGTAACGCCAGAAAATGATCTGAAACACCAGCAGACTGAGGAGGAATCAGATTAGAGATGTTTTAGTGGTTTGCTCTTTGTTCTGAGTGGTGTTATGTTTTTGCAACATGTGTTTTTGTCATGTTGTTTTATGAGATTTATGGATGGGCGTTAGTGACACCTAGGGGTCGAGAGTGGTACAGTACATGTTTTTGTTCAAGATGATCAGCTAGGTTATAATTCAGGAGATGCTAGGGTAGAAATGAAAAGCAGACACAAGTTTATAACATCTGACAGTCATTGGACGAGAGGGGAGGGACACCCAGGGCCGGTCACCAGTCCCTCACAGGACACAACTAATTATCCAAATAAAATCTGTAGTGTGATCGTTTTATGAACTAATCATGTCTCTTTGCACATTTTATTTTTATGTAAATGTATTTCACAGCACAGTTTAGACTAGTAAGAATAGAGAAGTCACGAGCATTAATGAGGGCTGCATTCCACTTCTGCAGCTATGCTAGTTTGTTATTTAAACAGAAATGGAATGGTGTAAAAGTTTTGCATCTTGATTATCTTAAAGAGACAATGTGTAGTTTTTACTATTAATTTCTGGAAATATTCATCAAAATGTTGTTGAAAATGAATGAAATGATACCCAGTTGTTGAAAATATTGGCAGCTTCATACAACCATAAGAATCAGGTCTAAAGTACATGGGGGTGAGTCTAAGTCTCTGGGTGACTTAAATACCATGTTTCCATCTATGGAAGCCCATGAGGACAAAATGCATTTACTGATTTGTAACAAACGGTTACAAAACTTCATTCTTCAATACTGTTGTTTTATAGCCTAGTGAACTAGAACAAATTCTTGCTTTGCAAAGTTTGGTCTAGGAATGCTTCATTTGAACCTCTGCAGCCCCTATTCTGGCTGGCCAGTCACAACTCGCTGTAAGGGTTTCAAACACATAAGTCCCCTTCAGACAGGCCATGAAAAACGGAAATGTTCAGGACTCTGTCCGTAAGACCTTTGTGTCTGAATGCAAACATCCGGATAACGTTTTCCGTAATTAAACCGGACGACGCCCCCTAGTAACAGGTGGCTGCTTCAGACTGGTGAGGTCGAGTTCCGGACAGGGAGGAGGGGCAGGAGGAGGGGACCGGGGGACGCTGTGCGCACCTAGATAGCTCACTGCTGCAGCATGCGGCAAACCATGGCAGCTCGCCTCCTACGGTACTGTCTAGACGCGCGACGGAGCGCTTCAAACCGCTTCCATGATTCCTTTAACCATTGAGCTTCATCATCCAGGTCTCTTATGCGTCTTCCTGTGCGCAGAATTATGCTTAACATAAGTCCGATCAGTGAGAAGAATTCTATCTCTTCGTCTGCCATGTTTGACTGAATGGCTTTGTTTGGGTAAATGACACATGTACGCCCCGCTGCACCATGTTTACGCAATATCTGGGTACAGCCTTCCCACCCCCTCCCCCTCAGACATCTGGAACTTTTCCCTGCTGTGTGAAGGCAGCCGAAAGGACAAGTTCCGGTACAAAAGTGGTGTGTCAGAAAACACAGTTCTGGTTAAAAAACCAGACTGAATTGTCCACACATATTCCAGAATGTCAATCTGAAAATGTCTATAGAGAGCTGTGATTAGTCCACAGTGGTAGGCCAATCACAGCTGTCTATCTGCTTTCTGGACCAATCATAGCGCATTATCCACTTTGTGGGCCAAACAGGGCCCTCTATTCATCTGGTGGGTGGGATGATACAACAGAGTGGAACAAGAAGGCAACAGCTAATTTGAAACGGCTTTTACATCAATTTTGGACTATTTGAATATGGGCTTAATTCGATTCAGAAGAAGGTGGATGTATTTAAGTTCTTTTTTTTTTTTTTTAGAAAAAAAAGGATGTATTTTTGCCTTCTTCAACAGCAGACTGCCTCGTTTACCAACATCTGTTGCAATGAGTTTGTCACGTTGTTCTTTGTCCAGTAGCATGCGGAGATCATTTGAAAGACAACAGTAGAACCCGCCCCACGACTGAGAGCCGTCAATGGAGCATTGCCAGGCTAATATTTTTACACATCCACCTCTTCACTTGTGTCCAGTGATGAAAGGGTGTCTGATGTGCTTGTTATTTTGCTAAAGTTTGCACTCCCCAGGGCTTTTTGACCCTAATGGGCATCCATTGGTAAGGTCTTACTCCAAGACAAAAATACAGCTTGCTTGCAACGATTTAGGCATCTACTGCTCCCTATCACCAGGAAAAAGACACACTGTCACTTTAACAATTTATTGTTATTTGCATAATTGTATGAAATTTGGTTGAGTTGGGTTCTTTAAAGGTGCTGCATACAGAATCCATTAATATTGCTGTTGTTATTTTGAAAGGTACATTTTTAATAATTCAGTACATAGAAAATCCAGTTATGTGTTGAGGAGTTCAATTCAGTTCAATTCAATTCAACTGAACTGAACTCAACTCAGTGCAATTAATTTCAATCCAATTCAATTCTGTTTAGCCCCTAAAGGGACACTGGTATAAAAAAAAAGTTTTCTTCAGAAACCGTTGTTCAATGGCTCAGTAGAATTGAATGGAATTCATCTGAAATCATTTCAACACTGTCCCTTTAAGAGCAGGCACCTAACCACCACCATGACTGTGACGTCATCTCCCAGCATGCTCACTGGAAGTCGAATAATTGCTAATGGCGGGTATTGTACAAAAGTCGCGTGTTTGATGCTTTTGTTTGCCAAGCGAAAGCTTTGTTGTGAAACATTAAAATTTCCGGTCATTTTCCTTACATTTGGAGCCTACCTCGGTAATATAGAGAGCGCACGTGCCGAACAAGTGCGCGAGGAGAGTTTGTTACAGGTATCATGTGGCGGCGGCTCTCCTAATGTATCAAACAGAAACTGGACAGCGCGTCTTTGATGTTTAGCTTCCCGAGTAAACGAACAGAAACGTTCTTTAGTCACACAAGCAGGTAAAGGACTGAAGACACGCGGCTCCGTTCTTCGGACACGGTTTCGCTGCTGGTGATAAATTTCCGCTGTGTGAAGAGAAAACCATGGTGAATTTACTTGTGTTAATGGTATTAGCCGCCGTCCAGGTGGACGGTTCCTCGAAGCTAAATATTCCCAAAGTGTTGCTGCCGCTTGCTAGAAGCACACGAATTAACTTCACGCTGGAAACCACGGAAGGCTGCTACAGATGGTGAGTGTTCAGGCAGAGGCTCCTGCTTCCGGAGGAAGAGTCATGCTGTAAAAGGCAAAGTGGCCACAGGCTGTATGTTGCTGGGTTATAATAATATGAAAGTGTTCATATTTTACACATGTGGTTATTTTAACTCCAGTTGGAGGCATCAAGAGGCCACAGCACATTATTAAAGCTGTATTTATGAGTAAACTGAGTAATAATCTTTCAAAAACTTAGTTCTCCCAACGTACTAGAAACAATCATTTATTGTATTTATTTACAGGAAAGAATTGGTCAAAGAACATGAAGTGGCTTTTTTTACATTTTTATAATGCAAATAAAAAAGTTCAATACTGTAGAAGTGCCTTAACTTGGGTGTTAACCAGATATTCTGCAACTTTACGCTCATAATTTTCAGAGCTGCATGTAGAATGCTTTTACTCAACTCTGTTAAAATAAATCATAAAAAATGCTGGTGTTCATCTTAGAAAAGCATTTTGTTTTCCACCAGAATCCACACATGCACCAAAGCCACGAGCTGATATTAAATACACAACTACAGCACTGCCTTGAATGTCCTCCGTCTTTGTGATGATGGCATTTATCTTCCAGGTCCTCCACTAGGCCGGAGGTTGCCAGCATCCAGCCTGTGGATGAAGACAGCTCCAGAGGCTGCTCTAGCAGAGCTGTCCTGCAGGCTCTCTCCACCCAGCCCACCAGGCTGACCAGCATCATTCTAGCAGAGGATGTTGGTAAATACTTTTACCTCCACGTTAACAATGCACCAGATCTAAACAGGCATGCAGCTTGCATGTGTTGGGCAAGTTACTTCAAAACTGTAATGCGTGATTTATTACTTGTTACTGTCAATTCAAAGTAATTTGTTACATTGCAATATTACTGTGATTAAAATGGCATTACACTACTATTGCATTACTTTAAGTTACTCTCAACAAAATAATTGCATGTAAGGATTTAGCTATCGAAATGTAGCTCATGACACTCAATTAGCTTATTACACATCCCGTAGAAGTTGATGTTCCTGACTGGTCTAGGATTGTGGTTAAAACAGAGACAACAACCGTTCTTTAGGTGTAAGCACACAAAGTGCATTTGACTACAAAGTTCTTCGGATCCTTATTTTTCACAAACTTAAAGTAATGGGTCTATGTCCATCTGGAGAATGTTCTATCGGACGTTAGATCAACTGCAAGTTCACTCATCTCTGCTCTGATTACAGGAAGTGGAACATTTTGCATGAATGTTTATCTTCTGCCGATCTTGCGTAGCCTAGAAATCTAGACAGACCGAAGCTGGAGGAAAAATAATTTGCTCTGCAGGTCCTTTTGATTACCTCCATCCGGGCCAGATTATGATTGCAGGGGCCCCTGGGGATTAAAGTTCCCAAAGATGGCCAGGCCCCCCCAGAAAATTGTTTTTTTATGTATTAAATGCAGTGTAAGTGTGTGTGTGTGTTGGGGGGGGGGGGGGGGGGGGGGTGTTTGTTGAGTGTCTATTCAGCTGACGGCCGAAGGGTTTGATCAGGGGAAAGTGAACCAAACTGTTGCTAGCAGCTGAAGCCAACAGCTCAGGCTGGTGTTAACAGGGGCTCGGCTTACCTGGCTCTTTGGTGGTGTTGCTGCGGCCAGCGTTTAAATGTTGCTGATGCTGAAGTGGGTTGGAACATAGATGTAGCAGGAGTTTTGACGTCGAATCACAGACTTTCCTAGAAGAAAAAAAAAGTTTTTCTCGGTTTTTCAAGACGACTCATTTACACCTAAAGCTGGTCATACTAGGCCCTGAGCTTTTAATATGCTACATTAGACACTCCAAGCTGCATTTATCCAACAACCACACTGGAAATGTGCTTTAATCCTTTTTGTTCACTTCAAGAAACCTCATGATTCAGCTCTAAAGGCTTCATGTTTGATGACCTAGAGCACAAAGGTTTAACTCATTCACTGCCAGCGTTTCCTGATCACTAACGGCCTTCGCTGCCAGCGTTTCTCACCGTTTTTACTGTTTTTTTAAGAGTCACAGAACGTTGCGCGCTAGCATGATGTCGATGCCAAAACAACCAAAACAAAGCGGAGACTCACCTCTTACATCAGGAAGAATCCGTGTGTTTCGAGAGTTATCCGTTCTTTCATAATCCGTTGTTGAATTGTGACCGGCAGACGCTTTTCCGGTTCGCGCCTCACTTTTTTACAGGAACGGCCCAAAACGATCTCCAGACACATGGATGGTCTGCTTCCTGATCATGTGACGTGTGACATATGCGGATGAAGATCAGCTTCAGGGCTGAGATGTTTGTTCTCTCAGCTCGGGGGCTCGTTCCGATGCTCAAACAGTAAAAAATGCAGTGGCAGTGAATGAGTTAATAAATGTCACAATGTTCTTTATTGGTAAAATAGCTTGATTTGACAGCACCTGATGTTTTTTAGAGTGCATGCAATATTCTTAATGGTTGTATTGTAATGTTTGTTTTAGTTATCCCAACCTTAGAAGTGTGTCTCATGGCTGTGTGATTGAACCCATTTCAGTAAAAACTAAAGACCCATATAACCCCACCACCACGGTGCTTTACAACACGCCAGTCATTCACCCATGCACACATACAGATGTAGATCCAATGAAGTTATTAAAGACTTAAGACAATAAAATATGGATGAACAATAAAATGTCCAATGGTGAAATTCTAACAGTGAAGGATCTAGGTCAAGGCTGGTATCCTGGAGATTTTTGTTGTTTCCCTGTTCCAACACAGTTGATTCACCCGTGCAGCAGCTCATCAAGCTCTCCAGAAGCCTGTTAATCACCTGCTGATTGAAACCAGGTGTGTTGAAACAGGGAAAACACAAAAACATGTGGGATAGCGGCCCTCGAGGACCGGAGTTTGACACCTGTGACCTAAACAGTCTGTGTAGGGCTCGCTGGTCTGTCAAAAGGCCCCATTCCCATTGCACATTCCTTTTTTCTTTTTCTCTTTTCCATTTTAAGTTGTTGAGTTGCCATCTGCTGCCTGTGTGACAAACAAGGACTCATCTGCATTGAAATCAGGAAATCCAGACCCATTAGTGGTCTGCATGTGTGCAAAAAACTCTAGTGAAACAAATCTAAATAATGTGCTCAGACCACAGCCGCCATCTTTAAACACAGTCTAAATCAGCCCAGCTGTTTAGCATCTGCTTCCATAACCATCACTCTGACAGCAGCTCTGTCAACACACCAGAAAAGCCACAGCATTTGAATTTACTGATAAGTGTAAAACCTGCAGCCGGAAAGGAAAGGGAGCTCCAAAGCTCTCTGTTTGATAAAGCTTTTACTTTACACTTAAAGCCGTTTTTCCTCTCGTCCATCTTGCAGTTACTGGGCAGGTTCTGCGCTGTGACGCCATAGTCGACGTCATCAGTGAGATCCAGATAGTCTCCACCACCAGAGAGCTTCATCTGGAGGACTCTCCTCTGGCACTTCAAATTCATGCACTGGATTCTGAAGGTGAGCGTTCTCTCAGCTCATCAACTCTCTAACTGACAGCATTATAAATAAGCAAATACCCCCTTAAGTCCTACTGCAGTGGACAAAAATGATGTCATAACTCAGTTCTTCTACATTAAGGAGCCAGTGTTGTTTTGTTTACTAGTTTCTTTGAAAGATTATGGCTCCAGGCTTCCAGTCTGAGGTGGCTGTTTGTTCTGTGCGACTAGTTCGATTTAGGACAGCCACGTTTGGTTTAATGAGGCAAAGCGACAGCCCGACTCTTTCATGATGGCTCCAGGGTGAGGCGGTTTGTTTTGTTGGCTTTGGCGTAAGAATAAATTGAGCAAGATTGTTAAAAATGATTACAACGCAATGTTAACACATTTGGCTGCCAGGAGCTTCTGACCGAGCTACGAAAACATCATTCCTGGAATATAAAGTGAGATGTAATAATTATCTGCTCCTTACCCATCTGTAGCTTCTGGAAGTGTGGCTTAATGAGTCTGGAGCACAAATCCGTTGTTTTTGAATTACAGGAAACACATTCAGCACCCTGGCAGGTCTGGTGTTTGACTGGACCTTGGTGAAAGATGTAGATGTGAACGGATTCACCGACTCTTATAACGCACTACGGTAAATATTCATGTGTTAATACTCTACTCAGGTTCTCAGAGTCATTACAAACAGATTGTGTTGATTTAACCGAAGCTACATGTGTTCTTCTGTTTAACTTAGTGTAGATAACGAGACTCTGGTCTTTCTCTCCTCCAGGGTTCTGAAGTTCTCCGAGTCTACGTACACTCCTCCTACATACATATCAGAAATGGAGCGTGTTGGCAAACAGGGAGACATTATTCTGGTGTCGGGGCTAAAAACAGGGCATGCTAAGCTGAAGGCCAAAATACAAGAGTCACTGTACAAGGTAATGCTTGGATACTAAAAATGGGTCATGTTAGGGGGAGCATATATGCATACAGTGGGGCAAAAAAGTATTTAGTCAGCCACCGATTGTGCAAGTACTCCCACTTAAAATGATGACAGAGGTCAGTAATTTTCATCATAGGTACACTTCAACTGTGAGAGACAGAATGTGAAAAAAAATCCATGAATTCACATGGCAAGATTTTTAAAGAATTTATTTGTAAATCAGGGTGGAAAATAAGTATTTGGTCACTTCAAACAAGGAAAATCTCTGGCTCTCACAGACCTGTAACGTCTTCTTTAAGAAGCTTTTCTGTCCTCCACTCGTTACCTGTATTAATGGCACCTGTTTGAACTCATTATCTGTATAAAAGACACCTGTCCACAGCCTCAAACAGTCAGACTCCAAACTCCACTATGGCCAAGACCAAAGAGCTTTCGAAGGACACCAGGAAAAGAATTGTAGACCTGCACCAGACTGGGAAGAGTGAATCTACAATAGGCAAGCAGCTTGGTGTGAAAAAATCAACTGTGGGAGCAATTATCAGAAAATGGAAGACATACAAGACCACTGATAATCTCCCTCGATCTGGGGCTCACAGAGCTGTGACCACAGTAACAAAGGTCACCATCAGTAACACACTACAACGGCAGGGAATCAAATCCTGCAGTGCCAGACGTGTTCCGCTGCTGAAGCCAGTGCATGTCCAGGCCCGTCTGAAGTTTGCCAGAGAGCACATGGATGATACAGCAGAGGATTGGGAGAATGTCATGTGGTCAGATGAAACCAAAGTAGAACTTTTTGGTATAAACTCAACTCGTCGTGTTTGGAGGAAGAAGAATACTGAGTTGCATCCCAAGAACACCATACCTACTGTGAAGCATGGGGGTGGGAACATCATGCTTTGGGGCTGTTTTTCTGCTAAGGGGACAGGACGACTGATCCGTGTTAAGGACAGAATGAATGGGGCCATGTATCGTGAGATTCTGAGCCAAAACCTCCTTCCATCAGTGAGAGCTTTGAAGATGAAACGTGGCTGGGTCTTCCAACACGACAATGATCCCAAACACACCGCCTGGGCAACAAAGGAGTGGCTCCGTAAGAAGCATTTGAAAGTCCTGGAGTGGCCTAGCCAGTCTCCAGACCTCAACCCCGTAGAAAATCTGTGGAGGGAGTTGAAAGTCCGTGTTGCTCGACGACAGCCCCAAAACATCACTGGTCTCGAGAAGATCTGCATGGAGGAATGGGCCAAAATACCAGCTACTGTGTGTGCAAACCTGGTAAAGACCTATAGTAATTGTTTGACCTCTGTTATTGCCAACAAAGGTTATGTTACAAAGTATTGAGTTGAATTTTTGTTATTGACCAAATACTTATTTTCCACCCTGATTTACAAATAAATTCTTTAAAAATCCTGCCATGTGAATTCATGGATTTTTTTCACATTCTGTCTCTCGCAGTTGAAGTGTACCTATGATGAAAATTACTAGGGCTGTAGCGAAGCCTCGACGAAGTCGACGGCTCGATTCTAAAAATTTGTCGACGTCAGATCCGGAAGTCGACGCACCGCGCCCACTTGTTGCATCCCCAGGAGTTTGTAAATAGAAGAGAAATCTGCCTGTTTTTCCTCTAGTTCGCCCTCTTCTCCGCCTTCACTAACATCTCCGCCAAATACCGAAGACCCGGAACAACGTCCGTCCACTACTAGATTATTTTCCTGTTTTGCCCCTTCGTCTCCCGGCAACGGACAACAACTTCCGGGGTCAGATGCGCTGCTTCGTGTCTATCGCAGATGTAGAAAATCACCGGGAGCGCTTCTCCCTTCATTAAGGAGCTTCTTTCAGACACGAGGAGAGCTGTTTTGGTGGTAGCAGTCTCTCCTCCGTGCTGGTCTGTTTGCTGCTGGGTGTTTTTGGTTTATTTAAACTTGGTAACTTGAACTTAATGTTGGTAAAGCTACTGTTAGCATCTTCGCTAACAGCTTCTTGCGTTGGGATAAGCTGTTACGTTTTGGTTTAGAGTTCATCTTTTTTGTGGTGTAGATCTCCCTTTTATTACATTTAGAGTGTTGTGGGTTTTCGGTTTAGTGTAAAATATCACCTGAGTTTGGTTTAACCCGTAAGACCACTCGCCTCACGCACATAAGTGACCAAAACAAAGCAGCATGGAGACACCATCTTCTACCACCTCTCAGGCAGCAGCCTGCACTCCCAAGTTCTACACGTCACCAGAACATAACCAACCAACACAATAAACGCAGTGTTATACAAAATGGAAGGCCTGTAGTGTTTATTCTCTTACAGTAAGAATTTATCAATTTTTTTGAGGAATTTATTTGAGATTTTCTGGTTTTTGTTAATTGTGCAATAGAAAAATAATCATTAGATTAATTTTCTAAATAGTCATTAGAATAGTCGACTATTCGATAAAATAATCGTCAGAATAATCGTTTTAAAAATAATCGTTTACCCCCAGCCCTAAAAATTACTGACCTCTGTCATCATTTTAAGTGGGAGAACTTGCACAATCGGTGGCTGACTAAATACTTTTTTGCCCCACTGTAGTTGCCAGATAAGCCTTGATTTAATTGTTGAATGCTGTAACCAGTTACCTTTGGTTTGTTAAGGCGGGAAACTAAAGCTTTGTTGTTCTGTTGCCATGGTGTTCTGGTGCCACAGGATGTGGGTGCTGCAGATGTGAGACTGCTGATTTTAGAGAACATCCTGCTGAGCCCAGCTCATGATGTCTACTTGCTGGCAGGAACCTCCATCAGATATCGAGTTCTCAAGATAAGACAAGGCTCGATCACAGGTCAGGCCTTTAGCTTTCAATGGAGTCCTTTATTTGATCTGTATCTGCCTGCAGGAGGTTTTGCTCGACCAGAAAATCCAGTGAAATGTTGTTTATGTACGGCTGAACTGAAGCAGCCACACTGTTTTAGTTCACTACAGAAACGATGGTTCTAATGCAGAACATTCTCTTTTATCTAGAGCTGTCCATGCCTTGTGATCAGTATGAGCTCCACCTCCAGAACAGTGTGATTGGCCCTAACGGAAACCCAGACGCTGCTGTGGCCAGTTTGGATCACAGATCCTCCAGAGTGATGGGAATTCAGCTGGGACACATCAATGTGGTGCTGGAGCATAAGAGTATCCTTCTGGCATCCATGCTTGGTGCCCTTGTTCACATAGATTATGTTTACCAGAACAGTTGTTCCTTCTGGTTTCCATTGTTGTTTCCAGTTTGTCCGAGTCAGTTTTCCTGAGCCACATACATAAAGGCCTTCGAATGCAGGGAGTGTCTCGTCTGCCCAACAGCACGCTCTTTGTTGTAGAGCCCGCCTACCTCGGTCTGTCTTTCTCTCTCAGCTCAGTAATAAATACTTTAATGTTTAAAAATCTGGCTGACCTCGTTTTTTCTGTTTAGGGTTTAAAATCCATCCGGGAGACAGCTGGGTTCTTGAAACTGGCAGAGTGTATGATATATTTATTGAAGTGTTTGATAAATCTGGCAACAAGATTTATCTCTCTGACGTAAGTACACCCCAAAAATATCTGGACTCATATTTTAAGTAGCTGTTTATTCCTCAGAACCATCTTGACAACACTTTTGTTTTTTTATGAATTTATAAATTGTCTTGCTACAGTCAGCAGTGGTTGATTCAGTGACGCATCGTTAGACGTGTAATGGGGAATTTTTATTGTTTAGAATGTCCGCATCAGCACGGTTTTCCCTGTGGAGTATTTTGAAATCCTGGAGTCCTCGCTGAATGGATCATATCACCATGTCAGAGCTGTCAAAGATGGCCTAACGCTCATCGATGCTACCCTGGGAGCTGTGGTAGACGACGTGAGTTTATTGGCCCATTTCACTGTTCACAGTTGGGATTTCATGTGATGTCATCATTAGTTTATCAGCTTTAGTACAGAGCGTCATCACTTCCTGTGTCCTCTGCTCCGTTCCAGAATGGAAGGACCCACCCATTAGCCAACCCAGTCCACAACGAACAGGATGTGGAGATTTATAATCCCATCATTCTAACGCCTGCTATCCTCACGTTTCCATGGCAGCCAAAAGTTGGAGCCTATCAGTACACAATCAAGGTAAATTGTCCATTTATGTGGATAGAGGGTCTTAATTGGGTCAGTATGATGATCTGTGTTTTCATTCAGTTTGGGACCAAACTGTTGGGATTGGATCTATTTTAAGGATCGATATCGATGTTCTTTCTAGGCAACCGGTGGTAGTGGGAACTTCAGCTGGTCTTCATCCAACACGGCTGTCGCCACGGTGACGGTGAAAGGAGTAATGACTACGGTCAGCGACATTGGTGTCACTGGGATTTATGCCCATGATCTACGCAACCCTCTACACTTTGGCCAGATGAAGGTGAGCCGATCTCGGAGACCTTTAGTGTGCGCGGCTGTCACCACATTAGAGCTATTAGAGGTTCTGAATGTTTCATCTAATTTACAGAGAGGTTTGGGCTGATGGGTTCCATCATTCTAGATTCAGTTTCATTGTTCTGTAGCGAGTTTCCATCGTGATGTTAAATATTTACTGTTTAAGGCCGAAAGGAGAGGTTTGATTGGGTTTCTACCTCACTCACACATGTTAGTAGGCACTTGACAAAATGTAACCTGAGATTATGTTCTGGTGAGGTTCGAGTTAGGGTTGCATCTAAATCTGTTCGGTCTTGTTTTCTTGCAGGTGTATGTTGTCGAGCCTGTTGCAATGGACTTTGCTCCTTGCCCAGTAGAGGCCCGGTTGGGCCTGGTTCTGGATCTGCCCCTCAGGATCTTTGGCCTACTGGAAGAGCTGGAGAGAGAACGGGTCATGTTGAGCGACTGCTCCCACTTTGATCTGCTGGTTGAGCAGGAGAACCAGGGCGTCTTTGAGTTACTGGATGGTGAGTCCCGTGGAGGCAGCAGGATCCATTCATGTTTTACCAAAGATGCGTTTGAAGTACATGAAGCTGTGTGTGAATGACACCCAGGTGTGTCACAGAGGTGCTGTGTTCACTGTCTGGCAGATAACGTTGTTATAGCACATGTTTTCTCTGGAGTCCAAACATTCACTTGGTGCATTGCTAATGGGAGAGTTGGCTTCTGGGAGGTTTTTTTCCAGCACATCTAAAAACCTCCCAGTGGAGTTCAGATCCAGATTCTGTGGGGTCTCCTCCGTGTGTGATGTCTTCTTTTCCCTGAAGCTCACTTCCACCGTCTGAGGCTGATGAATCCTGGCGTTTGTCTGTCGGTTGTTAAAAGGAACCAGAAGCTTCTTACAGCATCAGCCAGAATTAATCAAGTAGTCGCTCTCTGAGACATATTAATCACTGACTGTTACAGTAATTATTAATGAAGAACAGCTGTTCTGTCAGGTGATGAACGTGTTTGTTATCTCAGGTTTTATATGATGAAGTTGTTTAGATGTTTGTCAGGTAGACCCGAGGTTGAGACCTGCCTGGCTGCTTCCAGAGTGTGGGAGGAAACCACATTTGTTTTAGTAAAAATACTTTTTTTTTAGTTTCAAAGTAGAATACAAAGTTACAAGAAGCCATGTAGACGTTATCAGAACCAAATATGGATAACGTTAGTTTTGCGTATTTCAGCCATCTGAATCATTTCAGTGGAAAAAGTGGAGCGTGATTTTTATTTAGAAAACTACTTGATGGATTTCAGATAATCATTACAACCTCTCTTTCTCATCTGTGAAAGATTACATTTGTTCATATTTCTTATTAATAAGAAGAGTGTACCGGCATTTAGGTCAGCTACTGCCTGAACCGGTGTCTGTCTTTGTCCACTGTCCGTTTATATTAATTCTCCTTCTTTGGTTCTGTCCAACGCTGTTTCCTGCTCCTCCAGGGAGACTGGCGCCAGGCCAGACTCACTGCAGTGGAGTTAGAGCCAAGGCCCTGGCTCCGGGGTACACCGTGCTCACTGTCAGCTACACTCACGGTAACGTGCACCTCAGCGCCAGGATCACCATAGCTGCCCACCTTCCTCTCAGAGTGAGTCTTGAGGTCTCACCCTTTCAGGAATTTGCTCATTATTAACTTGTGACCATGATGTTTTGGACATTTACTCAGACTTCAGTCCTAATTGGCTTTCAGAAAGAACATTTGAAGTTCCTCTCACAGTTGGGATTGTGTAATGAAGGCTAATGTGTGTGTCACAAATATTTAGAATAAAATGCAGCAGGTGCATTGTTACATATTTATAGCGTAGCTCTGATTGGTTTCTATTTTTAGACTTAACAGCCCCAAGGAAGTATTTGCCAAAATTATCATCGGAGTCGTCCTCTTCCAGTCAGCAGGAGTGAACTGATGAAGAGCCGTCTCCTGAGCTTCCTCTGCACATTTCTGTCATTTATTATTCTGTTTCTACACGTACTTTTATGTTAAAGATACTGTTGAAAGTTAAACTGTTCTGGTAGAATATAGAATTTCATTTTTGCTTATTTGAAGAAAAAAAAATCTTGGTTGGTAGGATGATGTTTTCTTTCAGAAACTGTGTGAATGTCTGAGCGTTTTCATGGATTTTTATTTGCAGGCTGTTGATCCTGTGTCTGTAGCTGTGGTCACTCTGGGATCCTCTAAAGACATGTTGTTTGAGGGTGGACCACGGCCTTGGGTTTTAGAACCATCAAAGTTCTTCTGTGCGTGGAGGGCTGAAGACGAGTCCAGCCTGAACCTCGTTCTGACCGGTCCCTCATCTCACAGCTACAATCACCACTGGCTCAGAGCCACCTGCAGGGCCCTGGGGGAGCAGGTCTGCACAGCTGCACCTACAGTCTGGCTACTAGAAGTTATGCCACGTGTTTTTGTGACATCCTGTTGTTCTTCAGGTGCTTGAGGTCACCGTGGGGAACAAGGCCAGTGTGACCAATCCATTTCCTGCCGTGGAGCCGGCGGTGGTCAAGTTTGTCTGTGCGCCACCATCACGCCTCACTCTGGTCCCGGTTTATACGAGCCCACAGCTGGACCTGACCTGCCCGCTGCTGCAGCAGAACAAGCAAGTGGTGTGTGAAGAACATTTGTTCTGTACCGAATTTTCACCAGAGCTGTTTCATCTGAGTCGGTGTTGGCGTTGGAGGCACTAAGAGCGGCACAAGTTAATATCAGTTACATTTTAGGTTCAAGTAACCAAAGTTAAAACACAGAAGTTGTCCACAAAGTTTTTTTGTTTAAATATAATTTTACTTTACAGATATTCTAATCAACACAATGCAGTTATTTTTAATGAAAAACACATTATAGATTTTTCACAGCAGTGCTTTAAGGTGGTGATTGAAACATAGAACGTCTCAGTTTGAGTAGCATTTAAATTAAAGTAATATTTTAAATGTGTATCTTCAGTCCTACGGTTAGCCACAGCTAACCGACCAAAACACCATCATATTATTAAATGTGTTTGAACTTAGGGCTGCTCGATTATGGCAAAAATAATAATCACGATTATGGTGACTGAAATTGAGATCACGATTATTTAGGACGATTTTTCAATTTATGTTGATTTTATTTGTTTTTATTCAGTCATAAAACTGCTCAGGGCACAATCAGGACAAAAATAAGAAACAAGATGATCACTAAAAGAACTCCTGATTCCCAGGATAAAAAGACCAATATACTTATAGCTCATAGTCTATGACCCAAGGGCTATAGACCTTGAGTCTAACCAGTACAGACCCAAATACCAATATCTTGCAAATACTGACAGCAAGAATTATACAGTGGCATTTATAACAAATAAATGCAAATAAATTGATGTTCACAAAATGTTACATAACATTTATTGAGTCGTGTCAAGGTGCTGTAGCACTGTGTCCTCAGAGAGATTAGTTATCAGCGTGAGGAACTTATTTCTACCTTATTTATAAACTATTTATTTACAGGCCCATCAGTTAATGTAATAATTGTCCCGACCACAGCTGCACCCCCCACCCCCCCCACCCCGGTCTCACAGCAATCGGGCAAGCTGCACGTGTGTTTAGCACGCCGCACCCGCACATTTAGCTGTTTTTAGCTGCTCAGGAGACCGCAGGTGCGGTGTGTGTGTCACTCACTCTGGTTAATCCAACAAGGAGCCGGCTCCGAGAGCTGTCTTTAGCGACCGACACATCACTGCATCATTCCCTTTCCTAATGTTGTGAAGAACGGTCCGGAGCACAGGCGGAGTGTTTAGCTAACCTGCAGGAAATGTCGACGACAGTTATCCAGAAAGTAGCTAAGGGTTACCAGAGATGTTTCTGAGATGTTCGCTAGGTACTTTTAGGATTAAAAAGTCAAGAAGGGGGTCTGAAAAGCTGCTAGAAATAGCGTCAAAGTCGCTAAGTTGGCAACACTGTGGAGGAGCGCTTCATTTGCAACTTAGGGCAGCGCAAGCGGGAGGAGCAAATAATCGGCTTGTTATGTTTTTTATAATCGTTCAAAACTCAGATCGTAATCGTGATTAAAATTCGATTAATTGAGCAGCCCTATTTGAACTTGTGCTTTTCTAAGGTTCCCGTTTCAAACTATCGCAACCCCGTCTTGGACTTGGCTGCCTTTGATCAACAAGGAAGAAAGTTTGACAACTTCAGCTCTCTAAGCCTGTTGTGGGAGTCGTCGAAGGTGTCTCTGGCCAGTGTCGAGCCCACTATGCCAATGAAACTTCAGACGTTTGAAGATGACAACAAACAAATGAAACTTCATGGTAAAAACTTTTTTTTTATTAGTGGATGTTCAGTTTAACACAAGTAAAGAGCTCAGACAAAATATTACATACATTTTTATACATGGTGTATAGTTCAGGTACGTGCACAGAAAATCATCCCAGCTGTTTGGATGCTTGTTTTAATCGTTGACAGGACGACAGGCGGTTCTTGTCCATCAGCAGACGGGTGTAGCAGCCATCACAGTGACGGCTCTTGGATACCAGGTTCAGCATCTTGGAGCAGCCAAAGTTCCCAGTCCAGTGAGTAGAAGCAGCGTCTTGCTTTAAATTGTGTATTCGACAGTTGTGTAGTCACCGCGAGTGCTGCTGGGTGCTAATGCTAGACAAACTGCATTTGCCGATTGAAAAAACACGGACAGAGCGCTAGGACGGCTATAAAAACTAGTGGAGACAAAATTCTAACTTTTATGCTCAAAAAGTCACTCATGACTCACAGGGCTCAAGTTCTTCTCTTACTCTTAGGTTATTGTTTGTGTCACTACTTTTTACATACATAAAGACTCACGTCGGCTTTATTAACTGCATGTAAGCGTCTGGCTGAAGGTGAAGAGGTCCTTATCGAGCTGAAGCACCCAGATAATGCGGAAGCAATTCGATTACATTCTGCTTGTAAACGGGTCCGCCGAACTAAACCGGTAGGACGCTCGCGCTCCGGAAACGACGAGACCGCGGAAGCATTCTTCTGACAAGATCGTCACAAAGCAACACCCGTAGCACCATAAAACATGACGGTACGTACCAAAATAAGCTGTGCTGCAGCGTTCTTGTTGCCCATTCCTTCAGCCTTTATGCATATCCTGTTTCAGTTCTGTCTGCTTCACTACCACCAGCCTCTGTTTACTGCTTGTGTTCCTATAAGCTAACAGGAAATATGCCTACATGAAAGGGGCATGTCGCCACCCACTGTACCAGAGTAGAATGAACTTTATTTGTGGGGCTGGTTTTCTAGTGTGCTTGTAAACTAGGATAAAGACTCCCAGCTTATTACAATAAAAAGGAACTTGATCGACTTGCACACTGGCATCAGCTCCACTCCGCCTGGACTGTGTTGGGAGTTTTCTCATTTACGTAGCCTTGAATTTTCCCGCACGCAACCGGACGTCTTTTCGGCCCTCTTCTTGAGGAGGTCTGCCTGAAGCCGAACAGGGCCAACACGCCCACTGCTGACGGACTGGCTTGCTCAAAAGCATGCCTATCATTGGGGGAACTTCCGACCGGCCGATTGAATCAGCCCGCAGAGGCTTCCCGCATGTGTGATTCATTAGCATTCTGGATGCTGTGGAGTAGAGCCCTGCACTGGCCTAAAATCTGAGCCCGTGTCCGGCCCGGCCCAAGGGGGTGGAGCCCCAGCCCGACCCGGCCCGAAAAGGTTTTCAGGATTATTCTCTGGCCCGACCCGAGCCCGACTTTTTTTTAACCAACTAAATGAAAACAAAGTGTGTCAATCCTGACCAATGTGTTAAAAGACGTGCAGGATCTGATCAATTTGTTTTTCCCTCATTTACCGTCACGGAGATAACAGCGCAGGCTCTGGTGGTAATCAAGTTAAATTTTATCTCTTTCCAACAATTTTCACAAGTAAACAAAACAGTCAAAAGCAGGGCTTGTGTTGTGTTGACCAGATAGTTCCCGTATTTGACCGTTTATTTTGACGGAGAAAGAATAGAAAGAATTACTGCGCTGAGCAGTGTACAGCTCAGATGTTCAGATGGGAATCTTTTCTTGAGTGATTTAGCTACATCTGCGATGTGCGTAGAATAAAATGTCAGTTCGTCTGCATGCGTCGGGATAATTCTTTCTATTCTTTCTCCGTCAAAATAAACGGTCAAATACGGGAACTATCCGGTCAACACAAGCCCTGCTTTTAACTGTTTTGTTTTCTTATGAAAATAGATCAAATTAAACTTGATTAACACCAGAGCCAGGCGCACTGCGCCGTTATCTCCGTCGCTGTAAATGAGGGAAAAACAAAATGATCAGATCCTTTTCTGACCTTCCCCACCTACAAAGTTTAATTACTACAATCAAACGTGACAGAGCCTGGATTTGTATTCTGAACAGTCTAAACATGCTTATAAAAGAAACGTATGACAAAAGTGGCACCTGCTCAGTAAAACCACCAACAGGGTGAAAAATATCTAAATATTGTAGGCAGAGACCTTCTGGATCCACTTTATATAAATCATTTTATTGATTATCGTCTTATGAAAGATAACTGACGTACACGAGCGACCGGTACCAGCTGCTGTCACCTGGTTGTGAGCAGCTCTCTGCTGTCTGAGGGTAGGCCCCGCCCACAACGCCGCGGCTGCTGTGGCTCCCAGTGTTTTCTTTACTTTGGGAAACGGGTAATAATGGCTCTTTGATGGGAACAGGTTGCCGACCCCTGGTTTAAGTGACCCCATAATCCAGCCATCTTCAGCTTACCTCTGCTCTGGCTCACTTTTAGCTCCTGAAAAAGGAGCACCAGAGCTTTTTTTCCCTCAGAGATCAAGCCACAAGGCATTAATTTATACTAATGAAAAAAATAGTTAACTTGGTCTTTAAAAATCATGATTTAGTGTTTGATAAAACGACCTGAGAATGTTTGTCTTTGACAACTGGGCTGTCCAGCATCAAGCCAACATTTTATTGGCTTTCAGAAACATTTTGAACATTTGTAGCTCCTCTGAACTTTTCACCCTCAGACCCTGTCATAGCTGTTTTATTAACAGTATTTGTAATACCATCCATCCCGCATGGCTGCACAACACTCTGATAAAATAATTGTACCTATAAATGCGTTTGTGTTATCTTTTTAACATTATTTTTTGTAGTAAATCCTCAGCCTGCCTCACTCTATTTTTCCGTCGATTGTGACAGTGTTGTGTGATCTCTGAATGACTGTTGGCTGCTGTTTTCCTGTCCTGGACAGTATGAACCCCTGACTCCTGTCTCAGACACACTGGACCTTCTGCTGGTTGAAGATGTGAAGGTTTCTCCTGACATGGTGACCATTTACAACCACCCAGATGTGCAGGTAAGCAACAAAGCGTTTACACTAAAACACCTGTGTCTCTTCTGTTGTGGGTTTTGTCATGGCTGCAGTCACAAACCAGATCTTTTTTATGACAAGCTAACGTAAAAAGGGCTGCATGGTGACGCAGCTGGTGGCACTGCCACTCGTAGTGAGAAAGTCACACGTTAGAATCCCAGCTGCAGCCGTTCTCCTGGAGTAAGCATGTTCTCATGCATGTGTGGGTTTGTTCCTGGGTGTGAGTGAGAGTGAGTTACTGTGGTGGGTGTCCCCTGCCTCTCGCCCGATAACAGCTGGAGAGGCCATACCCCAAATGAGTGAGCGAGTGAGTGACCCCTTCTTTCCACCGGAGCCGTCAGCAGCACGTTACTGCAGCAGCACGTCATAGCTGCTGATAGGAACCGCTGTGGTCAACAGAACCTTTTCCACCGGAGCCGTCAGCAGCGCGAGTCGGCCGCGTCTCAGGAGCAGCATGTCGCGGCCCTTACGCGCCGGTTCTATTTTCTACGCGCGACGCCTCTGAAACGGGTCAAGTTCAACATTTTTGGGGAAGGAAAGACAGGAAATCGGACGCGGAAATGGAGAGAAGCTCCCGAGATTTTCAGTATAAAGAAACGTACTGCCTTCCGGTTGCTTTACTTTAAAAAAAGTTACTAACTGTGCGGCCCCGTGAGAAGTTATCCCCTAGCTAGCGGTCTCCTTTGTTTTTCAGGTCCGTATTGGCGATTATAAAACGGACAGAACATAAAACAAACCATGTTGTAGTTTTCTCCTGCTTGTTGTTGTGTTTACTGACGAAGTCACTCGTGTGACTTCGTGCTCCGTCGGTGACAGCTGCTCCCCTGCTGCTTTGCGTCTCGTGGGAGGGGCCAAGCAGCAGCTTACGCGACGTGCTGCTGCAGTAACGTGCTGCTGACGGCTTCGGTGGAAAGCAGGGGTGAGTGATGGGTTTATGCAGGAAAAGGCTAACAGCTAGTTTACACAGAGGTGCAGATGCAGCTCAATTCAGTTAAAATTTGCTCCTCCAAAGTTAACCTAGCAACCACAATAAATACCATGTCTTTGAAAAAAGAAAAGTTAATCAATGGTGCAGTTTTGTGTTTTTCTAAATATAAAAGCAAAGTATTTAAAGAGCTTCTTTGTGAGGCCAATAATTTATTTAAATGTTAAAATAATTCCAATTAATGTCACATTTCTAAATTCTATTTTGATGAGGAAATTCATAAAATAATGTAATCCGGCTTAAAAAATGTTCCATAGATTAAAATAGAATGTGACGTCCTCCGTTGTGGCAGCTAGATAATGAATTTAAATGTGCTGTAACCCTGTCTGCTGCTGCTGGACTACTGAGAAGGACTAGGGGTCAAATAACTAGTGACCTGACCTGTGTTAAGCTTGGTTTATGCTTGACACGTTTACTTTCCGCTTGGTGATGCGGCTCGCGGCTGGAACGCGCTTCACAACTTGCAGCGTTTATAGTTCATGCGGCTTGTCTCTGCGGTGAGCCAATATTCTCCCAAACTGAACGGGGCAGCATGGAGCTCTACAGCATGCATCCAACACTACACCATAGTAGAAGTAGAAATTACTGTTTACAACAAGGCATTCCAGCAGTTTTAACAGCGTCCTCGTCTTTTCCGACAGTGCGAGCTATTTCTCTCCAAGAATTATTAACAACATGTTGATCACGGCGATCTCTGAGAGCTGAATCATACAAATGTCTGTATTTACGAACCTCTGCCATACTAGTTCTTGCCATTCCGCCACGTTTTTTTGTGTCCGACCGTCCGCGTGGTTAGAAATTTTCCTAGGTGCGCGGTGTGGAAAATTTGGGCCATGCAAAGGCGCGGTGGAGGGGTGTGGTTGTTAAAATGATGCAATTTTGCCGCGCGGACCTCGTGGACGCGTCAAGCATAAACCAAGCTTAAGACTTTGCTCAGGGATCCACTCTTACACTCCATAAAAACATCTGAGACATTTTTGTGTATCTAGAAAGTGTATAAACAGCTTAGGAATCTTATTTTTTGTAGTTGAATCTTGCCTTGCGAGAGGGTTCGGGCCACTTCTTTGTCAACACCAGTGTGAAAGGGATCGCAGAGGTGGTGCTCCGAGAGGCCCAAGGCACAGTTCAGGTGAGAAACTATGAAAACACGGTATTTATGTAAAAAAACATGCAGCCAAAATGTTTACGGGAGGCTTTAGCTGGGATTCTTTTGGTTCAGGTTTCTCCAGTCCATCCAGGCATGGTGAACGTGATGGTCCATGATCTCTGCCTGGCTTTTCCAGCACCGGCCGTAGCCACGGTTCATGTTTCTGACATCCTGGAGGTCAATGTGAGAGTGGTTGACAAGGTGAGTGTACATAATCATTTGTCCTTTAGGGTCACAACCCTGCTAGATCATTTCCTCTTCATCATCAGGAGCACACTTTCCATTTTCAATCCCATCTTTTCCTTTTGATTACAGGTGGAGATCGGCAAGTCAGTCAGGGCTTATGTCAGAGTGTTGGATGATAAAAAGAAGCCCTTCCCAGCCCGCTACCTCCAGTTCATGAATCTCAAACTCAAAGCAGCTTCTGCAATCGTCTCTCTCAAGTGAGTCATCCAAAAAGTTGTGTTCAGGTTGAACATGAGAGAAAAATACGTCTAGACCTAAACTTGAGAACACCTGTCCTGCAGGCCAGTGGCAGAGCTGGCAGAAAAGGATACAGCGGTCTACCTGGTGAACGGGGTCTCCATCGGTCAGACCACTCTGTCCGCCGTTGTCGTGGATAAAAACAGCAGAAAGGTTTCCTCAGCGCCACAGCAAATAGAGGTAGGATTCAGTCATTTTAAAAGGAGGATTCACATTTTGGTGCTCTTGTGCTATAAGGTGATTGTTTTTCATTCTTAAGGTCTTTCCACCTTTCAAACTTATTCCAAGGAGGATGACTCTGCTAATCGGTGCAGTGATGCAGGTGTGTCCAGTTTTAGTTGGTGCTTCATTTGTCTCTCAGAAGAATTCAGCTGAAAACTACAGAAGCTTATTGCTTTCAGCCACAAAAAAAAATTAAAAAGCTCTGTTTTTCCAAATTGTCGAGATAATTTTTAAAGAAATAAGTTTAAAAAACTGATCTTTTTATTTTTTTGTGGCTGAACGCATAATACTTCTGTAGAAAACTGCTTTTAACAGATCATGGATTTAAGTCCTGGAAAGTCTTTCACCAACTCTTTAAGTGGCTTCTTAACTGAACCCTTAATTCTCTTGTAATAGATCACGTCTGAAGGCGGCCCCCAGCCCCAGTCCAACATCCTTTTCTCTATTTCCGATGACGACATAGCTTCTGTCAACGCCATGGGCCACGTTAGAGGTGTTGCTGTTGGCAACGTGACCGTGACCGGACTGGTCCAAGCTGTTGATGCAGAGACTGGGAAGCTTGTGGTTGTCTCTCAGGTAGTTGTCTGTCAGTGATGTTGACCGATGGGTTCATCTGAGCTTTTTTTCTGTCTAAAATGTGATTTTCTATTGTTCTTAGGACCAGGTAGAAGTGGAGGTTGTGGTTTTGACCGCCATCCGAATCAGAGCGCCCATCACCAGAATAAAAACGGGAGCACAGGTATCAGTATTTCATTAACCTGAGGTTCCTAACCTTCTACAAGGAATCATTTAATGGAACATCAAATTATAAAATGATGTAAAAGAAATATTCTAACGATCGTTTGTCTCCTGGGGTTCATGTTCTAGATGCCGGTTTACGTGATGGGGCTAACCAGTAGTCACACACCTTTCTCCTTCGGAAGTGTTCTGCCTAGTCTGACCTTTTACTGGTCCACCACTAAGAGAGACATTCTGGATGTCCAACCCAGACACTCTGAGGTACCCCTTCCCTTTTTTAATGTGGCAGAGATGAAAATGCAGATTTACATTTTACAGATAAACATGTGAATATGTTTTAACTACAGTTTACGGGGTAGTCTCAATCATAACGATAATAATCTAAACTCAACTTTGGTCCAACATGTTGCAGCCTAATGCATTTCTATGAATTTATGTTTGTATCTGAGTCAATTTCTTGTTTTAAAAGGAGTTTGGGGCTTGTTAGGTACCATGTTGTCTCCCATAGTCTGTTTCTGCTGAGTCATCGTTTAGCTCTGCTGTCTCATCCCTTTTATTTGATGTGCTGATGCTATAATGGTCTTGGTCCTATGCAGGCCAACATTAACCTTCAACCAGAGCACAAGTTTGGCATGAGAGTGACGGGAAAGATGAGGGGTCGGACCGGGCTGAAGGTGCTTCTCAGGGTGACTGACCCAACGGCGCAGCAGCTTAAAGGGAGTCTAAGGGAACTCAGTGATGAGATCCAGATCCAGGTACAGCGCTACAGTTAATCACCAAAAGGGAGAGGGAAAAACCTGCTTTTTAATAATCAAAATCTCTTCTTCTGAAGTACTTCTCTTATCCTGATGATGTCTCCCTGCTGCTTCTTCATTATAGCTGCTGTTGTAGATGGCAGATGACTGAGAAATGTTGTTAAATTAGTGGAGCGATCACACAGCAGATTAGCTGCAGCAGATCTGCCTCAAACTGTATTAAACTGACATGTCACAAGAGCACCAACATCAAAGAACAATTCAAATCCTTCAGTAATTTGAGTTTCAACGCACTGCTTTTATGAAGGTCTACGACAAGCTGCACATGCTAAATCCTCAAGTAGAAGCAGAAGAGTTACTGATGGCTCCAAACTCAGCCCTCAAACTACAAACTAACAGGTGAGTGGGACCAGCCAGTAGGTTTTGATTCTCTACATATAAAAACTCCTGTTTTCTTTCTTTTTTTTTTCTTTTTTTTTTTGATTAAATCTATTTGGAATGAACATATATCAATAAACAAGACCAGATGTAAATGACATAGGAACATGGTCATTCCAGTTTTTTCCCCCTCCCCAATTGAATCCAGGATGAGTAGTGGACGGTAAGAGCATCCCATCCGTCACAGAGGAGTGTCTACAAGTAGAGTCCCTTAATGTCTAAACAACTGAAAAGAGACTGTGCTCGCGAGGGGAATCTGTAATAGTTAAAGGGTTAAACACATTTATATGGAACAGTAAACCTAACCAGGAACTGAGGGGTTGCCTGTGCTGCTAACAAAAAAAAAGAAATGAAATTGCTAGGTTACAAAAAGTTGATTAACATTTGAGTCACATAAAGTCCGCTCTTGAGGGGAAAATGAATAAGATCCACTTGCTCCAGATTTCATAGAATTTGGTCTTCCGGTTATTTAACAAATATGTCAGTTTTTCCATCCTAAATATCTCTAAAATGATCCCATACCAATCATCCAGTGTGGGGAGGACAGGGCTCAGCCATCTTCTCGTTATTGTTTTCTTACATGCCACCAACAAGAGTAATTGCACCAACTTAATCTCACTCCCACATTTCAGAAAGGGGACAAGCCCCATGTATAAAACCTTAAAGTCCAAGGGGATTTGAATGTTCACAACTGTATTTAACGAGGTCTGGACTCCCGTCTAAAATTCCTTTAACCAGGGACAGTCCCAAAAAATATGCAAATGATTAGCAGCAGTAGCGCCGCATTGTCTCCAGCACGGCGTATGGGTGCCTTGATATCTTTGCTGATATGACGTTTTGAAATATCTTATAATATTCTTCCAGCCATGTTCCCTCCAGCTCTCTGAGCTGGACGTTGACCACTGGAAAGACCAAATTTTGCTCCACTCTAAGGAAATATCAGATCCCAATTCCCTCACCCATTTGTCCTTGATATGAAAAGTGTTTGCCTCACCGGCACTAGAGATGGTTTTGTATAGTTTTGAGATCGATTTAGTTGGTGTCATATGGGCCATTCCCATCTGTACCGGGTCGGCCCGGGCCGGGTAGCCCCGGTCGGCCCCAGCCTGGCCCGGTTGATTCCACACATCCTTGCCTTCAGCCCATGTGGGCCGATTCTACCCACCAATCAGAGGCTTGCTCTAATGGAAGGTGTGAATTTGCTGTCAGCAGTGGGTGTGTTGGCCCTGGTCGGCCTGAAGCAGACCCCCTCGAGAAGAGGGCTGAGAATGGGCCTTGGTTGGCCCGGAAAAATACCAGGCCACCCAGATATGTAAACAACCTACGCTACCCGGCCCGGGCCGACCCGGTACAGATGGGAATGGCCCAATAGTTAAAGCACATTTCAAGATGAGGGAAAAATGTGACTCAGCATCTGTAAAATCAGTCAATTTGCACTCATGAATGATATATGATCTCAACTGTAAATATCTGTGAATGTCACAATGTGTCAACGCATGTTTGTTTCGTAAGTTCTCAAAGCTGATAACAGTGTTTCTATGGGTAAGAGAAAGAAATGTGAGATCATAATTCATCCATGATTTAAAATAAGAGTCTTGTCTATTTGGAGCGAAATCTGAATCAAAGGCAAACCACCTAAAAATTCTTAACATTTTCTGTAGCCCACAAATGTTGATTACCCCCTGCCAGGCTTGAAGGGTGTGGGCCAGCCAGGGGTTGCCCAGCCCTTCCAGCCGGCACATTAGACCCTTGTCTGCAATAGCAGCCTGCAGGGGAAGCAGACTGACAAGTTAGACTCCAGTTCCTTCCACCTAGCCACGTATGATTTGTCACACCAGAATAGAAGGGGGGTTATCTGAACTGCGTAGTAATAGTTCCTGAGGCAGGGGAGACCCAGTCCTCCCTTTTCCTTGGAAAGCTGGAGGGTGGTGTACTTAATCCTTGGCTTTCGGCCTTGCCAGATAAATCTTGATATCCATTTAACCCACTCAATGAACTGGTGGTCACTCACATCTACTGGCAAATTTCTGAAGAGCTAGAGCAGCCTGGGGAGCACATTCATCTTGATTGCTGTTGCCCTGGAACTGAGACTCAGGAAAGGGACCAGATTCCATCTGTGCAGATCAGCTTATATACCCGCAGATATTGACTCATCGTTTGCCTGGAAGAGCCCAGAAAGGTCCGCTGTTAGGTATATTCCTAGGTACTTAATTTTCTCATTATCCCAGTTGAGCTTGAATTTCCTACGTAGGGCAATGGAGGCTGAATAATTCAGCGTTGTCACCTGTGTTTTGGAGATGTTAATCTTATAGCCAGATAGCATTCCAAAATTAGTGAGAGTAGACATCAATTCACTAAATGACCTCTCTGGATCCTCCAGGCAGACCATTACATTATCAGCAAACATTACTACTTTATGCTCCACTCCTGACAGAGTAACACCTTTAATGTTATAATTTTGCCTAATTGATTGACCCAAAACCTCTATAAATAGGTCGAAAAGAAGTGGCGAGATTGTGCACCCCTGCCTACAACCCCGCTGCAGAACAATAGGCTTAGACAAATCACCTTTCACCTTTATACGAGCTGACGGCCGATCATAAAGAGCTTGGATTACTCTAATAAACCCATCTTGAAAACCAAACTTCCCCAGGACCTTGCACAAAAATACCCATCTGACAGAGTCAAAGGCTTTCTCCGCGTCTAGACTACCTATGATTGATTGGGTTTTGTTTTGTTGTAATTGAGTAGAGATGTATAGGATTCTTCTAATATTGTCAGTTGTTTGTCTATGGCAAATAAAACCAGTTTGATCTAGGTTAATGAGGTCAGGTAACAGCTTTTCCAGCTTACGGGGAAGAATGGCAGTAAACAATTTGTAGTCCAGGTTGAGGACGCTGATTGGACAGTAGCTCCCACATTCTTGCCTATCTTTTCCCTCTTTTGGGATAATAGAAATAGTTGCTTCCCTCCAAGATGGTGGGATTACTCCCTCCTGTAGGGTGCAATTAAATGTCTTAAGAAGTATGGGGACTAATTCTGCCCTCAAACAGTGATACCAATGAGAACTGAAACCATCCGGGCCCACTGCCTTTCCTGGTTTTAGTCTGGAGATAGCTGTATTAATTTCCCTTGCTGAAATGGGGTGACGTAAATACTCATTTTGGGGACCCAGGAGTGCAGGTAGTTCTAAAGAACTAAGAAAGGCGTCAGTACTACTCTCCTCTGTTAGCCTGGCAAGCCAGACTAAATAAATGCATTCTTTGCAAAGCAAGAATTTGGTCTAGTTCACTAGGCTACTCCTCTGTCGCAGTAGGTTGTGAATACAATTCCCTAAAGTAAATTTCAAAACATTGGTGGATGTTTTCTAATTTTGTTAACAGATTAGTAGTTTTGGGATCTTTGATTTGGTAGATCGCATTTTCCTCCCTTTGCGTAATTTATAAGCCAGGTATTTTACAGATTTCCCTCCTAACTCGTAATATTACTGCCTCAAAAAGATTATTGTTTTGGGCCTCTTGTGTATAAATAAATATCATTTATTTCACCCTGTAAATGCCTGATTTCCTGCTTCGTAGTAGGAGTTGGGGAGTCAACATCTGCCTGCTGTTTCAACTTTAAATTCACCTGTAAATCGTCTAATTTCTGCCCTTTGATCCTCTTAAAGTGGGAGGCGATAGAAGTTAATTTACTTCTTATTACCGCTTTGAGCGTGTCCCATAGAATAGTTGGGGATACCTCTCCCGTGTCATTAGTTTCCAAAAAATCTTTAATGTCCTCCTTTATTTTGGAAACTACAGTTGAATCATTAAATAGGTGTGAATTAATCTTCCACAGAGCGGTACGCTTTTTCAAAGCCACCAGTAGAGATAAAGAGATAGAGCTATGATCAGATAAATCCCTTGTCAATATATCGCATTCCCTGACCCTAAATCTATCTGCATTGAACATAAAAAAATAATCCAGGCTTGCATATACTTTAAATGAGCCTGAGTAATGAGTAAAATCTTTAGTCGATGGGTGGCGATCAAAAACTCCTGTTTTCTTTGTCTAACAGGGATGGTGTAGGAGCTCTCTCCTATCGGATGCTTGATTGCCCCGATCATGTTGTCGTCGCTCAAGTTGACGATAAGGGCTTCCTGTCCTCTGGCTGTCATACTGGCATTTCTTCACTCCTGATCACCTCACAAGAGACTTTTGGCTTTAATCAAACCCTCATCCTCACTGTGAAGGTCAGTTCAGGAGCAACGTGTGCTTTTAGGAACAATGTATTTGCTATAAATCCATTTTTTGGCCTTTTGTCAAAGGCATTGATCAGATGGTGTCCAACAGTATGTCCACATGTGGAGCTGGGTTTCCACCTGGACACAGATGTTTTTGGTTAGAGTGATTACATCGTTTTAAAAGCTATTTAATAGATCAGTCTGTGGTCCACTGTCCTTTCAGAAATGAGCAGTTTTTAGATTACAAAACCATTTTAAGTGGTTTGTACGACAAAGTTTATATTTATTTCTGTTGCCCCCTTCAAGACGATCACACACATTTGTATAAATAATATTAACCATATTTCATCTGCAGTCACTGATTACAACACCAGTGCTTTGATTTATTTCTCAGGTGGTGCCCGTGTCCTACGTCCGCTTCAGTACCAGTCCTGTCCTCTACACCCACACCAGAGACGGCCTGAGGGCCTTTCCCCTGGGAGTCCTGCTCACCTTCACTGTTCACTTTCATGCTAGCTCAGGAGAAGTCCTTCACAGCTCCAATTCCCGCCTCACGTTTTCTACGAACAGGTCAGTCGCCTTGAGATGCGTCTAAATGAAACATGGTGGATTCTCAAGAGTGGGTTCATGGTGAAGGACGGTGGAGATGTGATCTTTTAGAGTCTTTAGCTCTGGTTACTTTTCAGATGACAGAAAATTCATTCATCTGAAATTAAATACAAAGAGATGCTGGACAGTTCAGTCTCATCTCTGAGATTCTCTCTCTCTCTCTCTCTCTCTCTCTCTCTCTCTCTCTCTCTCTCTCTCTCTCTCTCTCTCTCTCTCTCTCTCTCTCTCTCTCTCTCTCTCTCTCTCTCTCTCTCTCTCTCTCTCACACACACACACACACACACACATGCACACATGCACACACACACACACGCACACACACACATACACACACACGCACGCACACACATGCACATTGCCAGTGTGGAAGCTCGTTAAGTGGAGACCAACATTGACAGTTTGGCTGATTCTTTGATTACATCCTGTTTGTAATCATTTGACAGCCAGTGCAGCTGTTTCCTTTCAGTGTTTTAAGATATTCTGACTCTGGATCAATGCCTCGTTAGTGAAACACGGCTAAAACTATCCATTCAGCAGCTGTCAGATAGACACAAACCTGAACTTAATCATCTTCCCTGGTTGATAATCAGAACAGCCTCATGTAGCAGCATGGGGTGGTTTCAAAGACTTCTATTTGAATTCTATCTGATGGAGGGCTCTAGCTTCGTTGCACCGTTTGTGTCAGCGGACATGGTAGGGTCGAGGAGGGGGGCGGGGCATGACGCGTAACTGGTAGAACAAATAAATAAGAGCTATCAGCCTTCCACAGGCAACACTCAATCATATAATTACTAATGTTTAAGATAATTGTCATAATTGTAAATAATTGCCAGAATTAAATCAGATGGATGAAAGCAGCAGAAACGTCATCCCACATGGTTTTGTTCCAGCATTTCTAAGAAGATTTAATGCAATTTTTCCCTCAAAATCTATTGATTTGACATATTTTGGGTTTTACAAACTCATGTTCGTGGTCTAGTTATGAGGTTTGGTACAGTTGGGGTTGGGGTTACACAATAAACTCAACACTACACCTCATTCATTTGTAACAATGAGCAAATAATTAATAACAGGTGAAAGCATCCCACGGTTTGACCATACGGCTGCTCGCTCTAGGGCTGCAACAACGAATCGATAAATTCGATGAAAATCGATTACTAAAAGCATTGGCAACGAATTGCGTCATCGATTCGTTGTGTCGCACAACTCTTCCAAAAGCGCCCCCCCCCCCCTTCCCGCCCACCGTTGCGCGCAGACAGATCAGCGCGAGGGAGAGCCAGCAGTTGTTTGGAAGAGGAACATGGCAGAAGCAGCGAGAGTCAAAAAAGTAAAAGCTTTTTAAGTTTGGGAGCATTTTCAGTTAAATCAGGCGAAGACATGCGTTACCTGCAACGTTTAGGTCAGACTTGCACGGGATGATGCAGCGTCTTAAACGCAAGCATGTCGGGATCATCAGCGGAGAGAACTCTGTGTCCGGGTAAATTAAAAACTTTTCAAAAGTGATTCATCCAAGTCCCGGATTATTACACAGGCTAGACATGCCCTAAGCTCGTAAAAAAAGAGTCTAAAGTCGTGAGCGCGACGCTTATTAAATGAGCGGGGGGACTCGCGCTGCTGCGAACCGGTTCCGCCCAAGGCCGGATTAACTGGGCAATTGCCCAGGGCCCACGAACTCTAAAGGGCCCAGGGCACGAGCACAATAATGTATCTATAATTTCCCGCTTTATGAGGACTATGGTGACCGTACGTTCCGTTTTCCCCAGACTTGTCCACTTTTCACTCTCTGTCCGGCGCGTCCGGACTGCGGGTTCTTGTATTGATGAAAATGTCCGGCTTTTCATCCAGGAGCAGGGATCGAATTATGGGGGAGCTGTATATCCTACACATCCGGGGAGCCGGAAAAAAAGTTTTCTATATTATATCATTTTTGGACTCTTTTGAGCAGAGAGCGGCACAGCGCATTGTTACGCAGCGATCCAGGCAGCTGCTTCCAGCGCACGGTCCATTCGCAAAGTGGCGCAACCAAAAAACTATAATTAGCACACGATCGTTCATGTCTGCACATGTTGTCTATTTTCTGTCTTATTTGTGCCTGCAGCGCTCTGCTACTGCGGAGCTCATCACCTGTGCTGCAGTGATTTCACCTCACGCAGCATCGAAAACGCGCTCTGCGCTTTGTGGTCAGGAGATCCCTTTGATCTGCTCAGAAGTAACTGATGAGGTGAACAAGTAAGAATCCAGGCAGCAGTTTTTCTGGAGAATTAAGAGGAGATGCAGGAAGATGAGACAGACAGGACAGGAAAATAGTTCAATAAAAACAACAAAACAAAGTGTTGAAAAGTAAAATGTAGATAGATTTATCTCCACTACATGTTTTTACCTATAAAACAATAAGTTACACACATGTAATATTTATAAATTTGATACTATTCAGGTCACCTTCAACACTCAGTCACACACCCAGGGCCGTTTCAAGACATTTTGGGGGCCAAGGCAAAATGACCCCCCACCCCCCCACCCCACTGGGCTCCCCAGAAGCCTCTGTGTAATTCATACCCTCTCCAGTAGTGTTAGTTATACAGTGTTTATAAAAGCCCCTCAGACATTACTGACATGCTCTAATATTATCAGATGAAAAACTAAATTATCAGACATGCTGTCTCATCTGCTGCTTTTCTAAACTTGCAGAAAGTAACAAAACCATTTGAAAGCCACTATTTGTGGATTCTCTGAAAGTTTCCATGGAGTGTGTGACAACTTATTTTTTCAGTCATTTTTGGAAATAGTGATCAATTTTGATTAATTCACAGCCTATGTTTAATTACATTTAAAAATTAGTTGTTTGACATCCCCAGTTATAATAAATGTCTACAGATGAGATCAAACAAAACAGATGAGAATTGCCCTTAAGCTGTTTAATTGGACCAAGCATTTTAGGTCACAGATAGATGTAGCTTAGGGTCTCTGTCTATACACCTTATAAGACAATTTAGGTGATGGCATGTTGTTTTTCTGCTATTGAACTGTTTTCTAATAATGTTGTGTTAAATAAAGTGAAGGAAGGAGAGAAATAACGTTTCCCTAGCAGTTTTAAAAAATTTCCCCATGTAATCCGATTAATCGATTAATCGTGTCGAGACCCCATCCGATTAATCGATTATCCAAATAATCGTTTGTTGCAGCCCTAGCTCGCTCTTTAAGTTAATATCTGTTCATACTGACCACAGCAGCTGGGGGTCATTGTAGTGTGTGTAGTGGTAATCTCTGTGGGAGTTCACAAATGAAATCATCCGGCCTGCCCCCACAACCCCAGCTCACCCCAGTGAGCGAGCTAAATGAACAGAGACGAGTGGAGCTGCTGTATGAATGAGGGACTCCATCACAATCAGCTGATGCTCTTAGATGATTCTCCAGTTGCTGAGACAGTTTTAACAGGAAAAGTACCAAAATAAGCTGTGAAATCCTCCTAGTGTGGGAACTAAGATTACCGGCCTGTGATTAAATCCTTCTGGGTCTCTAAGGGAGCAATTGCACTTGACTGGTATCGGAGATTGGAACAGCTCGTCCTGTTTGTTTAGGATGGAGGCTTTTAGAGAAAAAGGAAAACGGTGAGTATTAAATGGTGTGTTGTACTTTTACAGATGAAATGGAGAATGTGACCAGAGCTATGCAGGGTTTACCTACAGTATCTGATTCCCTTTGGGGTTTTTGGTAATTGGACAGAGTGATGATGTGGAGCTGGGCTGCCGGTGCTGCTCTACGAGAGGCTTAACCCAACAGAACGGAGAAGGATCATAAATGAAGCTTAGCTGAAACCTCGTGTTGCTTTATGTAAAATAATCTTTTTTAGGATGCAGCAGCACCTATCCGTAGCCTCGGTGTGACCTGTGTGTTGCCCCCCCCCACAGAGACGACCTTGTGCAGGTAGGAGTCGGACCCACTAACCACACCCTAACAGTGAGGACCGTCAACGTGGGTCTCACTCTTCTAGCTGTGTGGGACGAGGAAAACATGGGCGTAGCGGACTATGTTCCACTTCCTGTCCAGCACGCCATCAGTGTAGATGAGTCCAACAAGCTGCTGGTGGGAGATGTGGTCTGCTTTCATGTCCAGTTGACAAGTCCAGATGGTGAGTGTTCAGGAAGATCTTTTAACCTTTATGCTGGTGAGTGTGGTCATCTGTTATGTGCTCTGCTTTGTGGTGGGATCTCCATCTGGTTTGTTTTTCTACCTGCGTGTTTCTGGCCGGAGGCCCGTGAGTCTCTGTCCCATTTTCTCCTGAGCTTCTCCTTTACTTCCTAAAAGCTGCTGACGATAGTTCCTTCTCTGTAGGGGCTTACGGTGCATGGAGCTCCTCTGCTAGCGGTGTTCTTCAGGTGGATCCTAAAAGTGGTGCAGCCGTAGCCAGAGACTCTGGGACAGTTACTGTTTACTATGAAATACCTGGCCTTTTGAAAACGTACAGAGAGGTCAGTTATGGGCATGGGTGTTTCTCCATCTGCTGTGTGTCACTGACCAGCTAGGTGACATACCTGAATGCTTGTGTTCATGTTATCAAGCCTAATGTGCAAAACTGTATATATTTTTTTATTTATTTGTGTAAATTGTACATTTCTTTATTTGAAGTTGACCAGAGAGAGTTGTACTCCAATCCTTATAAAGTATTTTATGTGTATCTGAAGGTTGTTGTAGAAGCACCAACTAAGACTACAGCCATGGCTCAAGCTACGCCTGTCAGGGCTGGCAAAGAGACAAAGGTTCTACTTACGACCAGAGAAAGGGGAACCAACCTCATCGGTAAGGATTTCTATTAACCACTGTGCTCGAACAGGAAGTCCTGACTCCAGAAGATAATCATTATTTAAGGGAGTGGTTTAAGGTTGAGACTTTAGCTTAACACACTTGTTTTTCATCAATAACACCAACGTTCAGCAGCTTGAGGTGGAGATGAGCAAACGCCAGACTGACCCTCTGTAGATTTTACCTGAGCCTGCCTCCTCAGGTTTTAAATTAGTACAAAAATAAATGATAATTTTGACAAATTAAACTGAGATGATCTATTATAGGTTGTGAAAAACGGGCAACTTCCTAAAAAGTCTGCTGGTTGCCTGGCAACTGCTCAGAGCCAATAAACAGCAGCAGAACATCTCTTTTAATCTTCTTTATTGCATCTTAAACATCAAAGCTTATGAGAAAGCTTTAAAACGAGGACAGTCGAGCAGCCTTTCTGTGGTTTTAGTTTTATACAGAATTAGTTTCAATGGTAAATAATATCAAACGGCATTCATGTAAAACCTTTGTTCAGGTTTTTATTAATGATTCCCCAAACTGATGATTAAATACAGTAGGTGGATATTTATTTGTTTGTATGTGTCACTAATGTGCTTCTGATGGATCCACAGGAACCTGCTCCTCCACGCAGATAGATGCTATTTCACAGCTGCAGCCAGAAACATCTGTGAGCTGTCCTCTGAGCTTCACTAATGGGGACGCTGTGGACTTCTCTGCTAATGATGTCTTCAGAACACACGTCAGCTTTGACTCCAGCACTGGTGAGACTAATCTGAAGGAGTCATGGCCACCCGCTCGCTATAAAACCAACAATATTCGGATGCCTCTGATCATAGTTACATGCATAGATATTGCATAAACCCCCCATGTGTCCTTTACTTTTTTATTTCACCTTTAGGTGAAACGTAAGGATCGGCACCAGTGGGTGGGGTCGGGGGGGGGGGGGGCAGCATACTGCCTACCAAACAGAATTTAGCAGAGTTCAAACATATTTCTCTGTTTTCTCAACTCAGTTATTCGTTGTTAAACTTTCACATTTTCTTACCGTTGTGCAGAATAGAAGTGCATTTAAATCTAATGTGGACACAGTTAATGTAGGCGCGTTGCATGGGGGGGGGGGGGGGGGGGGGCATTTACAAGAGTCTAATCAATCCCTGCGTGACCCAAGGAAGGAGTTTAGCTGGGACCTTTAACTCATTCACTGCCGTTGACGACTAAAGTCATCATTTGCATTTTTTTTTACTGTGTGGGCGTCGGAACGAGCCCCCGCACCGTGAGAACAAACATCCCAGCTCTAAAGCCGATCGTCATCTGCATACGTCACACGTCACACGATCAGGAAGCAGAACATCCATGTGTTAGGAGATCGTTTTGGCCGCTGCTGTAAAACAAAAGTGAGGCGCGAACCGGAAAAGCTTCTGCCGATCACAATTCAACAACAGGTTATGAAAGAACGGATAACGCTCGAAACGCGCGGATTCTTCCTGATGTAAGAGGTGAGTCTCCGCTTTGTTTTGGTTGTTTTGGCGTCTACATCATCCTAGAGCGCAACATTCTTTGGCTCTTAAAAAAAACTGTAAAAAAGCTGAAAACCGCTGGCAGCGAATGAGTTAAAGGTGTCCAGCTATGGACCAATGATGTCTGGGACCTCCCCCGGCCCTTTATCTCTGTTGGGATCCAGATGTGTGTGAACCTAAAAACCCATTGGACTGAACCACCTCTGTGACCGCACCGTGTTGGTGGGAAACCTTGAATCATCCATTCTGACATCATCCTTTTACACCCCCAGGCTTCTACACCTGCTCCATAACCCTGCAGCCTATGACTGATCTACAGACCCGTTTGCTCAGCACGTCCATGACCAACCTGCTGGTGAAGGCCAGCCTAGAAGGCAGTTCCTTCTCTGGAGAACAAGTCGGCAGCAGGCTGCCTGTAGAACTGGGCCTGTACTCGGACCAGACCGAGCTGCTGCTGTCCAGCCTCCACCCGTCTGCTGAGTTCCTGGTTTACGGCCCCATGGCCATCCTCTCTAACATGGAGGTGAGGCATAGAAGGGGTTCTTCAGCAGAAGAAAGGCCTTGACGCATCGGCGATAAACACTGTTTGATGTTCTCAGGTGGTGTCCAGTTCCCCCAGCATCACTGTGGAAGAAAGGGAGGTCCACCAAGGTTTCCCCAGTTTCTCCAAGTACTCTGTTCATGCTGTGGACCTTCAGTCAGCAGCTTTAGCTTCTGTTATTATAAGCAGTGCATCCTCTGGCCAGAACCTCATCATCCCAGTCACTGTTGTTCATGCAGCTGACCTCAGCACTGCTAAGAAAGGTCAGAAATTCCTTCAATGCCAATTTCTTGTCACATTCCTCACACCTTCCTTTGCATTGCTAAAAGTTTTAACGCATCCGTGTTTTCTTCAGCTGAACAAAACCTTATAAGGCTGCTAAAAGATCAGTGGAAACTTTCTGCTGGAGGCAGGAACTCAGACATTAATCAGATATCAACATGATCATCCCTCCCTGGGATACATAACTGATGTGTGGCGTGTTATCAAAGAGGTTTAGGATGTCCGTCTGTCTTGTTGTGATGCTCCCAGCAGCTTCTGCTTCAGCCGGTGTCATGGAGGGAGGGACGTCCCTGCACAGCTTCATCAACTCCTACCAGACCATGTTCTGCACCTTATTTGCCCTGCTGGCTGGAACAGCTATCGTCATTATAGGTGGGTCACCTCGTGTAAAGAACAAGTGTGTGTGTGTGTGTGTGTGTGTGTGTGTGTGTGTGTGCCACATTTGATGGTTTAAAATTGATCAAATTTAAATCCCAAGTTTAAAAAATAACTTTTTGTGTTTCTATGTTTTCTGTGTTCTAAAAAACATTTTAATCGGGCCTTCATCGAGTGTGTTGAGAGCTTTAGATTTATTGTCATGAATGTGTGACCTTTTTGTGGTTAAACATTTTACGGGTGCATCGTGGGTCTGTCACATCGCTGTGAGTCATCATATCGCTATACTAGTGCAGTTCTAACTGCAACGAGCTAATACAGCGGAGTAGCTAGCTGGGATGCCTGTTGATATAACTGTAGGTGTAAGTAGCATAACTTCTGAGTTAGACAGTTGCTAAATGTAAAGGAAAGCAGCTAAAGCCGTGTTTCTTCACGCCAAGGTTCAAACATGGAGCAGGGTAGTGCTGTTGTAGCTGCAGAAGTAAACATGTGATAAGTAGCTTAGATGAAACATGCAAATGAGTGAGATTAGTGTGATCGGCTCCCAGCTGCACCTGTAAGGAACACTACGACAGCTGGAGTTCTTCTGTTTTCTCTATATTCTGAAATATCAAATGTACTGAAGTTAGGACTAAAGGACTCCTGTTTTTACAGCTTAAGATACTTGAGTCATTTCATTTCCCCCTGCAGTTCTCCACTCCATGTTCTCACCAAAGGAACAAAGCTATCACCCTGCATTCATCCAGAGGACACCACCACCTGTCACAGGTAGGACCACTCTGCTGTGGCACTTTATAACCACTAAGCCGCGTTTTCAGCTGACCTCTGTGTTTTTGTTCAGCCTAAGGCTGCGTGATTCCACTCAGTCAGGACCAAAGGACTAAACCAATAAAATTATAGAAACAACTCACATTTGTTTCCAAACTACGATCCCTGCTGCAGCAACGGCCTTTCAGTTATTTAAAGTTTGTTTTGTATTGACTGGTTGCATTAACCCTTTGATGCATAATGGTCACTACAGTGGACAGGTACTCAAAATGGTTATTTATTAGTTTTTGCTGTTAAGCACAGCTGTTGAAGACTTTATTGCATTTGAGCCCCTCCATTTGGACTTCAGAAAGCCAAGCCAACATATTTCATGCTCAGAATGCACGCTGTCCACTGAAGTGGACATGTAATAAATTATTTGTAAATTATAAAATTTTACAAAAAATATTTGTTAAAATTTGTTTCATTCACACCTAAAGACGCATGAAAAAAATTGTTTAAAAAATCAGGGTTGAAGATTTCATAATTCATGCATCAAAGGGTTAAAAGGTTTACGTTCACAATCCACGAAGGTTATAATCATTTAGACCTGTTATTAATTAATTTAAATTATAAGTTTTCAACAGACTTTTAAAAACAAGAAGTGAGTTCTTAAAGCGCTTCGTCTTTGACATTTTTAGTCCCTGGGTTAGCGGTTCAGCTGACTGCTTCTCTCTATCTGCTGACACGTCACAGAAGGAAACAGAGATGAGGGTTTTTATTTATCTAAGTTTGCCTCATTTACTGGTGATTTAATATCTGACACGGTTTCAGGTTTCGACTCGCCTGTGGTGAATTCCTACAGCCGTGTGCTGCCCAGGGCCAGTCCTAACAGCAGCCCCAGGCCACGCCTCTACTCTCCAGACTATAAGTCCTGATGAGCCTCTGCTGGGGTTCAGGAAGACCACACCTCTGGCCGTTAAGGCTCAAAGAGTGTGTCGCTGTCCCTCAGGAGGACAGGAGACGTCGGGCAGGACCGAAGGTCTGCTTGCGCTCACATGCTGGTACAGAAATGCAAAGGCTTCATTTTTGTCTCTCACTGACGATCAGTTAAGAATGAAAATGTCAGATCATTCTGGGGCTTTTTAAATCCCCTGTGTATCTGTGTGAAAGTGTTGTGTGTAAATACTGATTACATGCTTGTGTTTTTGTTCTAAACCACTCCGTAATGACTGAAATGTTGTGAAAAAAGCTTGAAAATCAAACCATTAGCGAGTGCTTAAAATAACTTTCCTTTGTGAATCTTTTGAATCTTCTCGTGCGCTACTTACCATGTTTGACATGTGAAAGTCAGAAACTCAGGACAAACCATGTTGCTTTTGAGCAGGAAACAAATTAAGTTTATATTTCTGGGCATAAAATAAGTTTTTTGTTGTAGCATTTAGAGTTTGAAAAGAAGCCGTCCAACGAGTCTGTCCTCACAGGTTTCACTCCCTCAAACGTTCCATTTCCTAGCCAACCGAGGAAAGGGAAATGGGTCCTAATAGGTATACCTCTCTGACACGTTGCAGCTCTGGTTCGATTCATCAATGTGAACCCGTTCTGAGCCATTGTTGAGTTTTATCTACTGTCATTTGAGTTCTCAGACGTGAAAATGTGATTCTCTGTTCTTTCTCGGCCAACAGGAGCAGCTGTAGCATCAAAGTAGGACTTTGTTTTTAAAGGACATATTTTTGTATTTGGTGGAAAAACCTGTTGACAGATCTGTTTTTATGTTGTCTTTATTGTTACTCATGTTTATGCCTTAAGATCACTCATGCAAAGCTTTCAGGAGAAGAGCCAGTGTGGGTGTGTGTGTGTGCGCGTGTGTGTGTGTGTTTGCATACAGTTGCTAATTAAAGTTTTTACACTTTGTCAGCTGTGCCTTTTCTTTATTTTCCTGACGGAAAGTAAACAAGCCTTTTCATCCACACTGGATTAGATCAAAATATTGTCGTTTTAATCATTGAGCTACAGATGAACTCAAAACCATTTTTTTTCACTCCAGCTGTGACTAATTTAATGCATCAATGCTATTTTGTCTTTAAAATATGAAGATTTATTCCTGTTTTTTATATTAATATTTTAAGGACTGGGAATATTTCATTTAGAAAAATTTAATGAATTGTGATCCTAATAATCAAACTAATGTACCATGATCTAATATTAGAAAGCAATCACGATCCCCAGTTAAAGAGCATGAGAAGAATAAGGCCTCAGTCTACAAAAGATGTTAACATGATAGCGTACTACTCTAATAGGACTATATTTCTAGAGCTGGCTTCATGTCCGATTCAACAAGGTCTGGTCCATTCTGACATGGTGGCATCAGTTACATCCAAGATGAGAACCTTCCCGTTTCACCACATCTCAAATGTTCTGGACTGGTCTGAGGCTGTTGGGGCCCAGTGAACTCATGGTTGTGTTCCAGAAACCAGAGATGATCTGAGCTGTGTGGCATGGCGCATTATCCTGCTAGAAGGGGCCATCAGAAGATGGGTCTGTGGTCATGAGGGATGCACTCCCACCAGCTTGGCCAGCACTGACGGACACTTTCAAAGTTCTATCTTCTGTTTGAACTTGACCACATCCACATGCATGAAGCATCTGCTGTGTGATTGGCTCTAGTTAAAAGGCAGTTAAATGAGTACCTGATGAAGTGGTCAGTGATGGTATAGCTAAAAGTCCCTGCATGTAAAGATATGTTCTAATTGTTTTATCTGCTCAGAAGCCCAGTTCCATGGGTACATTTCAAAGTAAAACACTGAGGTTTCTCAAAGCCCATCGTGTTTTATTTCAAGTCTGTAATGCTTAATATTTATTTAGCAGAAGGCTTTTGTGGTCACGTTGGCCCTCAAACTAATCCTAAGTGGGACATATGAGGCTCTGACTTTAGTGTTAGTATTTACATCCATGTTCTCCTTATTTCTCAGAGGGTTCGTGTCTGCAAGCTCCAGTAAAGAGCAGCCATGTGGCTCAGACCACAACCAGGACTCGTGGTTCAGAAGATTTTAGCTGGCCAAAGATGATACATTAACCACCATGTTGTCTCATCAAGAAGCACAAACCAGACCCACTCCACAGCAGCTTGAAGGAGACATCTAATTCTGATGGACTGTCTAGTTCACTTAAAACACAGTGAAGTGGAAATGAGCATTTTTCTCCCATCAGCAGTTGGAGACGGGTGGACCTTCAGTGTGGCTGCATGTTGAACATGATTAAAGCTGTGCTTTCCATTCAGCCACACGGGTCGCCCAAACCGCCTCACGTCAGCCTTTAGGTGTGATTCTGTGTGGAGGGGAATCGCCACGGTTCCAGGGGACGTACTGTTCTGTCAGCAGAGGTGATCAATGAGGGGATTACCAAATGAGCCTGACACAAATGATGAGCTTTCTCCAGGAGGACCACAGCCATAGGAGAGATTCACCTCCAATCTAACTTGTTTCCATCAGTTTTACTAGAGCTTCAGTGGTGTTGAATAATGGAAGGTGTTTAGACAGGGCAATTGCCCGGGGCGGCATTTTTTCATGACACAAAAGGGGCGCACAAGCGCTGAGTAAAAAAAAAAAGGAAATCTGCGCCGCACCGAGGTTTTCTATTATCTGTCATATGACAGAGTGTGGATTGGAAACAGCAAGTTGGCGCCCCCTGCAGCTGCAGGTGCTCCTGCTGACTGAGAACGTTCACGTGCTCCGTGTGTCTATGAAGAACAGGAAGGGGAGGGGTGCGGCGGGGGAATTCACCTCTGCGTCTTTCCCAAATGAAATGAGCGTGCAGGGGCTGAATCCAGGGCTGGACTGGGACAAAAATTCAGCCCGGGCATTTTGATTGGAGACCGGCCCATCACCTGGTTTTTTTGGAAAAGACATTAAGCCTTACGCTGTTTCTGACACACACCAATGTACACTTTCTTATTGGTAATATTTATGTATCAATCTAATAAACGTAAACCTACACCATCCTTCCTATCCTGGTATTCTAAAAAAGTAGGGTTGGGGGTAAATGATTATTTTTAAAATGACTGACGATTCTTTTATCGAATAGTTGACTATTCTAATGACTATTTAGATGATTAATCTAGCGATTATTTTTCTATTGCACAATTAATAAAAAACAAAAAATCTTAAATAAATTCCTCCAAAAAATTGATAAGTTGTTACTGTAAGAGAATAAACACTACAGGCCTTCCATTTTGTATAACACTGCTTTTATTGTGTTGCGGTTGTTTATGTTCTGGTGACGTGTAGAACTTGGGAGTGCAGGCTGCTGCCTGAGAGGTGGTTGGAGACGGAGTGTCTCCATGCTGCTTTGATTTGGTCACTTATGTGCATGAGGCAAGTGGTGTTACGACCCTTCCTGGGGAGTCAAGTGTAAAGGGTTAAATTTACCTAAATATTGCCTTATTTATTATCTCTTGATGTTATTAGTCCTTATTTCTGTGGTTAATTGACAATAGTTCCCTGAAATGTTTATCCTATTTTAACTGTAAATCCTTCTAGCTGTTATATTTATAACAAGAAACAGATATTCGGACGGAATATTTTCATGTTTATTCGAATATGATTGTGGAACACACCCAGCATCATAATAAATGAAGTGATATTTATGCCAATTTAAGCCTTTATGGGTGACCAGGACACTGTGATCAATTTTTGGCAAGGGAAATTATCATTTGTTGCCATTTTTGAGGTGTTTATGAATGTGGAAGACACCCAGCATCCTGTGATGGCACTAATAACATCAAGAGATAATAAATAAGGTAATATTTAGGTAAATGTAACCCTTTACAGGTGACCAGGACACTGTGATCAATTTTTGGCAAGGGAAATTATCTTTTTTTTTTTTGTTGCCATTTTTGGGGTGTTTTTGATGACACAGTAGGCAGTATGAGTACAGTAACATCAACAGATAATACATAAAACCCTTATTTGGTCAATTTTAGCCTCCATGAAAATCTGAGCGATTCAATCACTTTTTGGCAAGTAAAATGCCATTTTAGTTGTCTACAATTAAATCATCAATAAAGAATTTAAAGAAATTTTGAGGCGTTTCTTATAGGTAAACGGGAGGGTGTAGTCTATTTGGCAAGTGACCAATCTTAATTGTATGTGCTGAAGAGCTTTTATCTTGTTACTTTTAAATAGAGCAACGTAATGTATAGATAGTAACCTACACAGTGTCATTGTAAAGCCAAAGCTTGATCAGTTTAAATACTATTTTTCAAGTAAAAATGTGCCCCAAACTAGTTAACTGTGGCTCCATGTCAAGTGGACTAAAGAAAGGAAGGGGAAAAAATTAAATCGCTGGAGAATTGTTTATTTACATTTATACAACGTTTACATTCAATACAGGGTGCCATTTTACATTATTTATTTTTTTAGTATCAAGGCTGTAACATAAAGAAAGCCAGTTCTTACCACAAACCATCTTTCAATCTCAAATATTGCAAAAAGGATTAATATATCCTCATTGTGAACGTTTAAGACAATTAGCAACACTTAAAACAACTTCCGAACTGGAAAAACTAACGTGGCAAGGTGGATAAACGACGGCCCGAGTTGTATTCGATCCCCCGACCTCTGGGGTGAGAGTCATACGCTCTAACTAGTCAGCCAAATGGACATCCCCTTGACCAGGTAGTCAGGGCGCAAGATCAATCGGGACATTGTGACAGGATGCTCACGCAGCCACATCTTCCTCCCTCTTTCCACAAGCACGTCCTCGTGCTCCCGCGCAGGGTGCCACAAACACTGCCACACTAATATCCGCGATAAACATCTGTTTAAGTACCGGAAGAGGTTATCTTTGCTTTCTGAATGTCCATATTGCTAGATATGCTGAGTTTTAGGGCGAAATCCTGGGGAATTTTGTCTAGAAATGCAATTACCTAACCGTGCGCGATCCCGCGGTGGCTAATCATTTTTTGGCAGCGAAACGATTAATGGCACAACACCGGCTCGGGTTTCTCCTCCTCCTCCCTCTTTTCTTCTCTAACCTGTCGCTGTGCTGAGGCTCCATCACTTCCTAAATTGATTTTACTTGAACCTTCACTACCAGACAACTGTGAGATTTTAACACATGTGCCAGCATCAGCCTGAAGGGCCAGTTTCTTTTTTACTCGATTTTTCTCCGCTCCTGCTTTCCGTTTTTTGTTCTCTATTTTGTAAAGCTCGTCTGTCTGTTTACTGAGATTCACAAACAACTGGCGTGTGCATCAGACCTCTGGCTATTGGTCCAGCCCAGAGTGTATTATTACCAATTGGCCAATCCACCAACTTTTACGAGGCGTCACGTGGGGCGGCGCGGACAAGTTGTCTGCAACAACTAGAGACTAGGGGAAAAAAAAAAAAAAACAGACACCGGCCCATAAAAGATGAAAGGGTCGGCCCAGCGGGCAGTTGCCCGCTATGCCCTATGGTCAGTCCAGCAGTGGCTGAATCAACTGTATTAACATGGCTAAAGTCAATCACATCTTAACGTTCTTCCATATTTCATTCATAACATCATAAACACAGGCCTTTCATTCTTTCATTTTTCTCTGAATTGTGTGAAATGGCCGAATAAAAAAAGGAAAAACAAAAACGATTTTGTGGTCACCCCCCCCCCCCCCCCCCCCCCCCCATCAAGGTCAAATTGTTTAGTCCTGACTAAAGGAAACTTACTGAGTCAGGAGCCAAACAGAAGAGATGAACATAAAAAGGCTAAAACCACCAGGTGCCCCATTCAGGGGGAAAAAAAAAAGAAAAAAGAGGAGAAAGATAAAGGTATGCTCTCATGATGCATGTTGCATGATGCATGTTTAACGGTTAAATGCGGTCAACTAATTGCTAACAGAGCTAATAGGGCTGAAATATTGAAACGAAATTCAAATGGTTCGA